GTTTTCGGTCTGAACATAGTACGGAGCTACAGGCGGTTAGGCTGGTGGAACGTGTAACCAGAGCATTCACCCTTAACGAAAGTACTGGCATCTTGCTTTTGGATGTCCCAAAAGCATTTGACAAGGTGTGGCACGCGGGCCTCTTGTATAAACTAATCCAAAAGGGCTTCCCCTTTTGGCTTCTAAAACTACTGAAATCCTTCCTTGAAGGTAGGAAATTTCGGATCAAAATTGACAATATGCTGTCTGAAGTTTCAATGAATGGACTTCGTATACCATGGGAATCCTCCGCTAAGTATCTCGGTGTCATTCTGGACAAAGGGATGACTTGGCGGAACCATATGGAAGCGCTAAAAACTAAATTCCAAATTACGTTTCGGCAGCTTTACCCATTATTATGTAAACGGTCAAAATTAAGTTTGATTAACAAGATTCGACTCTATAAGGTGGTCATAAGACCAGCAATGACTTACGCATGTGCGGCTTGGTGTTTTATTGCTAAAACACACATGCGAAGTCTGCAGGTTCTGCAAAGCAGGACGTTGCGCACTATTGCTGATGCCCCATGGTATGTCTCTAACGAAACTCTACATAGAGACCTCGATGTCCCTTACCTAAAGGACTACATTAAGCAACAGGCGCAGCGGCGCTATAGCCTAGCGGAATCGCACAGCAACCCTCTGTTGCGTGAGTCAGTGGACTACACAGTCGAGCAAGTTCGCAAGCACAAAAGGCCGCGGCTCACACTGTAATCAAAATTAACTCGTGAACTTAGAACAACCAAAATTGGAGCATTTTTACACAATCTTTAGAAAAAATCAAATATTTTTTGACCATATCAAAATCTGTGAAGTGATTTTAACAATGCCTAAACGCTGCCTATCCTCAAAGATTCTCTTCTTCCCCTTTGCTCTCGTTCTTCCTTCTCTCCTTTCCTTCCCCTTTTTTCCTTAAAATTGTCTGGTTGCTGGGTTACCAGACCTGACAGACTTACAAACTGACACTGTGACTCAAGAGCTAAGGTCCCACGGACCGCTCTGACAACCAACGATGACTTGATGAGTAGTGTCAAAAGATACACCAAAAACGACAAGTTTAATAGTCTGCCATGGCAAAGGTAGTGTAAGTAAAGTCCTGATTCTATGTCCAACTCATTAAGGTATTAGCTTTAAAATAGGAATTCATTTTCATTCATTTCCGATACATTGTTATTTCGATTTTTGACAGGTTTACGAATAAAGATACCACTGTGCGCCGCCAACCACTCATGTTTTCAACTATACAAGGTGTCCAAGATAAGGATGCTTGTGGGAGATACAGCTTAGGTTAAATTAGGAAATAGTTGCGTTCTTTGGGACATATTTACATGCCGTTGAGAAAGGTGTAAAAATCTCATGGCTTACTTAGATATTTGGAAAAAAACAAAATTTGGCCAAATCATTTCCATTTTTGGTTCGAAAAATGTATCTAATAGCATTTTTCATACGAATTCAACGATGCATCACTTCTTACACTTATTTCCTTGGTTATAAGGAAAATGGGTTTTTCTGATTTTTTTGGAGTATGCGTTGCAAACAAATGCTTGACTTGACGTGAATACCTGTCCTGAGTATTGTTATTATGATGTATTGTTAATATTGCTTTATTATCGTCAAAGATGCCAGCCAATCATTTTAGCAATGAAGTAAGAGTTCGTTGTGCTACTAAAAACACTGCAGACATGTATCCTGATAAATTTTTAGAAAGAACGCAGCCAAGTAAGTCCATTTTCTTAGAGTTGGCTCGAAATTTAAATGAATATGGTTCATTCAAAAATCCTGTTGTTACGTCTCTTTAGAGGAAACTCAGTGTTTTACAAGAAGTTGCTGACACTCCGAGATATTAACTAGGGATATTGAGAAAAATGTAGGAGTAGCCAAATCTACAGTGAGTGGTACACACGAACATGTGAAAGTTTTAATTTACCATCTAAAATATAATGGTCCAACGAGAGTATTGCCACTAATAATGGTACCTTCAATCACTCCAACTCATTACAGGGCTCAAGAAAATATGCGGGCTAAAAAAGTATCCAGACATCCAGAACTTTTTGGTTTTAATATGTGGTGTGGATTTCTAGGGACCAAAATATTAGGTCCATTTCCTGCCCACTTAGTATGATTATACCAGAAGATCATATTTATGTTTAGAGATTAATAGCAACCTATTTGAACACCTATTGTGAATAAAATGAAAATAATGTTAAAAATGTATGCATTCGTTATCTGAATATCAAAGCATCATTTTATGAAAGTTTGTCCCATCATTTCATTATGTAATATGCATCTATCTTACATCAAGCATTTGTTTGCAACACGTTAAATAAAATAAAGTCGGAAAAAATAAAAACCATTTGGCCAAATTTTAGTTTTTCCCAAATACCTCAGTGAGCCATGAAATGTTTAAAAGTTTCTCAACGGTATGTAAATACGCCCCAAAGAACGCAGCTTTTTCCTAATTCAACCTCAGCTGTATCTCCCACGGGTATTGAGATCCCCACGCATAGGATCATTATCTTTGACGTCGACCACCTTCTTCAGTTCTTCAGTTTTAGTGTTGCCACATCTCAAAGTGTTGCCGCTTGTTATGGGACTTTCCGTCGTTGAGAAAACCCGAGCATACGTTATTTTGTGGAATAATTACGAAAGACGAGGGGTGATCTTTCCTTGGAAGGTTGACGTCATCGTTAAGAATAAACGATTTTCGTTAAAAGTGGAATTTGCTTCTATTACTTTTAAGGGAATTACTGCGATTCTACTTGGGAACATGGCTGTAACGATGGTAATCGTAAGTCAATGTTCCAATATAGCATTACAGAGTATGGTAGGGCATCTTCTCGGAGAATACGTTAATCAATGAGGGTACAAATGATCATAGTAACACAAATAAAAATTTTTACTAAAAGCAAAATTTGTTTCTGTCTATATTTCTAATAGGTCCAAGATGTGAATAACGACTTAGCTTGAAAGTATTTTTATAATTTTAAAATATTACAATGCTACGTATTGTTGCCTTAATTAAGAGTTATACCACGGTACGAGGGTGGTCCCAGAAGTACCGGGCCTGACCTAGAGATGGCGATAGTTGTTTGAAAAATATCATTGTATTAGAAAGTATGCAACCTATAAAGCATATGTGTCAAGTTTGAAGACGCCACGTTGTTTAGTATTTGTTTGGCAGCCATCAATACTGAACGTTTTCAGTGAATTTGTGAAAATGGAGAAAATTGGTCATGGTTATGTGGTAAAATAATTTTATTTGAAAGGCCTCAGCCCAACCAATATAAAAGCTGAACTGGATTCTACTCTGGGTGAGTCTGCTCGTTCGTCTACAACAGTAAAATATTGGGTAGCAGAGTTTACACGAGGCCGTATGAGCTGCCAAGACGAGCATCGCAGTGGTCGACCAAATGAGGTGACGACTCCAGAAATGGTGAAGAAAATTCAAAAAGCGGTACTGAATGATCGTCGACTGAAAGTGCGCGAGCTAGCAGACAATCGAGCAAAAACAGTGTCGTGAAGATGTTTCAATTGACTATTTAGCGAAGTTTCACAACAACAAAGCAGAATTTTTGCGTCGTTTCATAACCATGGATGGAACATGGGTCCATCACGTCACACCCGAGACAAAAGAACAATCAAAACAATGGACTCAAAAGGGACAACCGGCTCCAAAGAAGGCGAAGGCCGTTTCATCTACAGGCAAGGTTATGGCGTCGGTTTTTTGGGATGCGCGTGGGATAATTTCCATTATCCATATCTTGAAAAAGGTAAAACTATCGAGTATTATGCGAACTTATTGCAACATTTGAGCGATAAAATCAAGCAAAAACGGCCGCATTTGGTTAAGAAGAAAGTGTTGTTTCATCAAGACAATGCACCAGCTCACAAATCCGTTATTGCAATGGCCAAAATTAACGAATTAAAGTTTGAATTGCTACCTCATGCACCCTATTCACCAGATTTAGCCCCCTCGGATTATTTTCTGTTTCCAAACTTGTAAAAATGGCTCAGTGGTCAAAGATTTTCCAACGATGAAGAAGTGATGTCGGCAGTTAATGGCTATTTTGAGGAGCAAGTCAGTTATTATTATAAAAAGGGCATCGAACTTATTGAACATTGCTGGGAAAAGTGTATAGAGCTCAAAGGAGATTATGTTGAAAAATAAATACATTTTTTTACAAAATTTTTGTGTTTTCTTCGTTGGGTCGGGTACTTCTGGGACCACCCTCGTATACGGTGAATTGTCCTTATTTTTTTTTATAGGAAAGTTTGCATCACTTTTCAAAAAGTTCCCGCACGACTTATTTTTAATGGATCAGGTTAGTAAGCTGTAATTCGGGGTGAAAACGTTGATGGATGAATACTATAGTTTGACGTAAAAATGGCAGTTGAAAAATTCAAGATAACGGCTGGGCGCGAAATTGGAACACTTTCTAAAATGGAATACCTGCCTATGAGAATTTTATAAGCCCAGAGTATAAATTTGTTATCTTTACAAATGGAAAACTCTCGGGCTATCAAATTTGAACAATTTTCTACAATGGATCATTATAACTCAACAACTCATCATCAAAATTTTATAGAATTGTTTATCAATCTTCTTCTTTTGGAAAGTTCTATCTGAAACTACAAATAAATATATAATGTTTCTTTAAGAAATGTCAGATTTGTCTTATGGAATGTTCCATATTTTCTTTGGCAATCGGAGAGATCGCCATTTTGAAAGATATATTCTTTCCATGAATGAAATTGTTCAGAGTTATATATAGAACTCACACTCTTCACTCCGAGTTTTAGGTTGTTAACTTTACTCATTCCAAAAATAAGTGGAATTGGGGACATTTTTTAAAGCACTATGTGATTTTACATTTGTATTTATTTATGGCAACGGAAACTTTTCCAGATAAGATGTTAAATATTGCTTAAGCATTGCCTTATAGGATCAGTATAATTGCAAACCTTTTTTGTTGTCTTGACATGGAATCCATTTGATGTCATTATGGCTTAAAGGGTTTCCTCGTTGACTAGAAGTACCTTCTTGAACATCTAAATAATTATTTCCATCTGTATTGCTGTCTACATTTTCAGAATTTGGAAGGCAGTTTGCTATCATTATTGACCTAATGGAACTGGCATTCCTACAAAAAAATGTTAACAAGTGAATGAGTGGATTCGATCAGTGACTAACGAAGAAGCGGACGAGGCGGTATACCCCCGACATATAGTATTGGAGTCTCGAAATGTCTACGACTTCCCTTGGTCCCTTGATCCCACATTTCTGAAGCATCGTTTGGGATTGAGAGTCCCGTAGTTACAAATAAGTTCAGCCTGTAAAATTTTAAATCAAAGTAACTTTCACTGCTAATCTCTCTAATGTCTCTTCAGTTCTCGTTTAGTTCCAGTTTAACCTACGGACTCAAATGTTCAGATACCATGGTATCAACGGTAAAATGTGGTGAAATGTGGATATTATGGTAATGTATGTCCTAAAAGTTTTGGCATAAAATTCATTGGCTTTAGTTTTAACAAACACAAAATACGAGTAAAAAAAATGATTAATATTTTGTGCCAAAACTTTTAGGACAAACGTTATCAGTGAAAGACGCGTTTACAATAGTTAATGAAAATGCCAGGTATACAGGGTGTCCGCAAAGTTGGGGTTTTCCTTTTCAGAAACAACTACCCTTGAAATAACAAAGGTAATGTGTAGTGAAACGAGGGCGACCAAGTTAAAAAAAAACAAAGGAAAAAGTACTCACTCTCCAGTTGACGAGAAGGGCTAAGTACGTCTCTGCCCGAAATCATGCCGCTCCAACAGAAAATGAAATCAGCTGATGCGCTACCGAGCAGACGTAAACAGTCTAGGTATTGCATCCCGTCCAATCGATTTGGGAGAATAAATGATCCAATGAGCCTACCGTTCACCATGCCAGCCGAAACATTCACCGAAAATGTGTCCGACGGACAGCGTGCGGATTTTCTACTGACCAAACATGAGTGTTGCGAAAGTTATTCACCCCATTACGCGTGAACGTAGATTCGTCTGTCACCAATATGCACTTCAAAAAGTCCGGATTATTGTCATGTTGATGCAACAACCACTCACAAAACCGCACTCTTGCTGGAAAATCGTCAGGTTGAAGGGCTTGTACACGTTGGACGTGAAACGGATACAGCCCCTCTTCACGCAGCGTTTGTCACACTTTAGTTTTTGATACTTGCACTTCTCTAGTGCTTGTTGTTTTTTGAAACGCAAACGATTATACGAGTTCGTTTACCTCTACACGCGTGACCGTAACCGTGGGTTGAAGGTTGCATACTGACCTGACACACTGACCCCGACCCCCGACCCAGTTCTGTCGTCGGGTTGAGCTAGTAGCCGGTACCAGTTGGGGATATCGCGAGTCGACATATTTTTGATGTTGCAGAGCCCTTTATCTCGGTTCCCTTAAGACATTGGTGTATATGGTACTAAGAAAAGTTGCTTATGTTTTCAAGATCTACACGTCGTGTAAAGGAAACCCCCAACTTTGCGGACACCCTGTATAGTAGAGGCAGAAGATGACGCTATAGTAATGGACAATGGTACAAATTCACTATGAATTTGATAAGGAACAGGTTTTCAAAGAAATAAAAAGGTTTCACAGGATTCACGTACCACAAGGCACGAGGCACCAGATCAATATTCCAACAAATCCTTCAATATATGATAAAATGCGGCTTTAGTGAATATATGCTCTGAATATCGCTTATACTACAATATTTCTAGACTATTTTCATCATAATTAAATCATGCGACAGAACTTTTTCCAAACTTGGACGCATTTTGGCAATTTGGCGAGTAAGTTCGGTAAGCAACAACCTGAGAAAAAAAAAGGGGGCGCCGAAGAAATTTGAACCCGCAACTCCGCCATTCCGTGGAGTCGACTACCCAATTAGCTGCCAACCAACTTTCAGGATCGAATGTTAGAGGCAAATTCAATCCTACCCATTGTTCCTTTGTATACGATTTTTTGGATGAGCGCATCCGTAACAGCGATTATGTTTACCAAACTAGAAATTTAGTTCATAGCAATAATCTTTGTCTTTTTCAGAGTATATACCCAGTTGTGCTGATGAAAGCCATGTGTATAGTGGATAATATGTATTTAGTTCGAATTAAACTTTCACTTGCAAGATTTGCGCTAAATAACGATATACACTTTTACATACAAATGTAAACTGAATGAAAATAGGTAAAATATTTCTTGGACTGGGGGTATACATATATAGCATATAGATACTATATATGTGAAAAATGTTTTTAATTACACTGAAGTAAGTACAGAGCATTCACTAAAGATGGCGAAAACATTCAGGACCTGACTTATAGTATGACCTGCTCAATCACCAGACGTAAGCAACCAAGGTAACATAGAATTTGAAAAGTAGTAATAATAGTATCATTTTATTTGACCAAGTACAAAAACCCAATGTTCAAAATAGAGAAAGGAATGGCATAATGATTTCAACTTTAAGTTTGAATCAAAATGAAGATACATATGATAAATTAAATTCATAAAGTATGTGTACATGCATCTATAAATTAAAATTTAAGAATCACGTCGTCTAATCAACATAACATAGACATAACGAACATTAAAATAGTTCAAATTACACATACATATGTATGTGTATATCCACATACATATACACCTATATGCATACATGCACACATATACACATATATAAACATTTGTCTTTTAAATCATTAAACAATATTTTTTTAAAAGTACAGAAGTTATCAGTATCCCTCAAATCTCTCGTAAGAACATTATACATTGTTACAAATTGTAAAGTTGAAGTCCTAAAACGACTTGCTTTTAACTTTGAGGTTCTTGTATTATAATCATGTTGTTCTTTTTGCATTTCAAATGTATTAATGTTCCTGAATTGAAACGAAGAATAGCTACCATCTAAACACACTGGTTTTGTCCGTCCGACCACAGGCAGTCAACCATTGACAGCTGTTTTGTGCTTTTTGGCAACTCATCAGCATCGTCTAGGCTTGGCCTCAAGTCGAATCAAGACTATAAGTTGCCATCTATTGCCAGAATGGCAGTTTATGCTTGCCTATCTCAACAGTTAGCATATTATATCGAGTGATAGAAAAAAAGGAAGTTGCTGCTAAAAAGCTTTTGTCGTAACTCGAAGGTATTTTAGGCGCGAAAATGTGATCAAAGCACTAGAAAGGACTGTTACAGTCATAGTACGAGACCTTGAAAAAACATAGACAAGGAAGAGGCCCGTCAAGCTGACGAAGAGGTTCTACAGCAACAAAATGTAGGTCTACAAGTTTTTGAGCCAAGAGCACCTAAAACTGGCAAGGGGCCTTGCACTGCCATAATGGTACTCCCTGAAGGGCTTGGACGTATGCTGCTGGAACAGCGGCGGATTAAAATTGGATGAAGCAGGTGCAGAATACCTGAAAAAGTTTCTCCAGCGAGATGATACAAGTATCAGCTCTTTGGCCAAGCTGCATACCAGTATAAGGCAAAGGATGAAGTGCTACGTCGGCGGCGAGAAGGGACACCGCACAGACAATATGGCCTACGTGAAATACAGGGAGGTAGTGAAACAGTTTCGGTTCACTACTAAATGACAAGCAGCTAACACAGCTGTGATAAAACAGGTGACGACACAAAATTTATGAGCCTGCTTCATCTCGAGCTCAGGTTAATAACACTGAGGATGAGAGTGTTCAGGTTGTCAGAAACAGAAAAGACATGCGAACGGATAGGAGCAACACTCCCATAACACGAAAATAAAGATAATACAAACTTAAACAGGTGCAGAGCAGCACACGATTTGCTAGATCAGTAAGCAAAAGAAAACTCTATTGACATTGCTCTGGTGTCGGAGCCGAATAAAACGATAATCGAAAGCTATTTGGATATACAACCAAACAGCTGAAAAATTATTACGGGAACGCATGCAAGAAAAATAGACACAAAGCTGGATGATTACAAAAGCAAAGTTCAACTGCTTGAGGGAAGCAATGTATTGGTGGAATAATGAAACAGTACAAAAAAGAAAACAATGCCCGATTATCAGACGTAGAATAACAAGAGAAAATAGGAAGTACCATAGAGCAAGTGGAGCTTCTTCTGGTGACTGGAACCTTTGACAAGGAGTCTTTTTTTAATATTTTTCGGGAAAGTAAAGAAATCGTTAGAACTTAGATCGGGACTATATGGAGGATGGTCCAATAATTCCACGTTTTCTTCCGTTAAATACTGCCTTGTTTTTTGGGCTGTGTGCGAGCTTGCATTGTCTTGGTGGAGGATGATTCTTCTTTCGGGGTTGATTTTTCGAAGCTCGGTGATGACTTTTGGCAAACAAATGGTGGTATACCAATCCGCAGTAATAGTTCTTTGCTTATTAAGAGGAATTGTTGCAAATATAACCCGCTTTTGACACAAATGTCGCGACCATCTTTTTCGAAACACTTCGAGAACGGATGACTTTTGTTGGCTTTTCTTCACCTTGGAACACCCAAACAACCGACTGTTGTTTATTTTCTGGTTCATAACAGTAAATCCACGATTCATCACCACTAACAATGCTGTACACATTTTTTGAGTTTCCGGAATTGAAAGCGTTTTTTGACACCAATTACCCCTCGCTGCTTTCTGCTCTTCAGTCAACAGGTGGGGTATCCAACGAGAAACTAATTTTCTTACTCCTAATTCTTCATGTAAAATTTTTTGAATTGAGGTCTTTGAGATCTTCAAGGACGCCCCAATCTCGCGATATGTCACATGCCTATCTTCAATGATGAGTTTGCGCACAGCATCGACGTTTTCCTGGCTGACTGCCATTTTTGGTGCACCCACCCAGGGATCGTCGCTAAGACTCACCCGTCCACGTTTGATTTCTCCATACCAACAGGAAATTGTCGACCGATGTAGCGCTTCGTTGCCGAAAACAGACAGTAACTCAGCAAGGCATTCTTGTTGCGATAATTGTCTCTGAGTAATAAATTATGGCGCGAAAATGTTCTCGGTTGAGTTCCATTTTTCTAATGACTTGGTGACACTTAAAAATTCACTGTAGTGAGAACACTGCACGTATTGTTGTGAAACTTTGAATTTAAGTTTACTAAAGAGTGAGGTTAAGATTCAGTACTGACGTTCGATCCGCACGGCCTACTATGTTTCTATATGCAAAACTTAAAATACATCCCTCGTATAGACCTCTGTGTATGCTGAGTTCACTTGGAAAGCTACTAGAACGACTGATAGAAGGTAGGCTGATAATATACGTCGAGGAAAAGAACGGGCTTGGCTTTAGGAAGGGAAAGTCTGCCATAGATGCACCTAGTGCAGTGGCACGACTGGCGAATGTAGCGGTTAGCGGCAGCAACCGTAGCAAGCGTTATGGTTGCTTTTGATGTTAAGAATGCCTTTAACACGGCGCAATTGCGGAAAATCATCGAATCTCTCGAGAAGCTAAACACCCCCTTCCATCTATTGAACACGATAAAGAGCTACTCTCACGAGAGGACACTTATGGTAGGGCAAAAGACGATGAAGGTAACCATGGGAGTGCCGCAGGGCTCCGTCTGAACGTCTTCTGCGATGGGGTTCTTCGGTACAGACAACCTTGCGATGATAGTGACTAGCAAGGAGAGAGATAAACTTGGAATACTCTTGGTATACGGAATCACGAGAATCACCATATGGATGGGAGAAAATGATTTGAAGCTGACTCCTGGAGGTAGTTATACTTACCGGCAGACATAAGCTAACTTCATTAGCTGTTAGAGATAATAATTCCGAGATTCGGAGAGATAAGACAGAGACCTCATCTGTCAAATACCATAAATGTTGGAAGAACTTTTGTAAAGCTGCTTTTGAAATGTTTGTCAATTCTTTCATAAGCCTTAATTGCATTTAAAGAGCATAAATCCTGGTTAGGTGCTTTTACCGCTAATGTGCATTGCAATCACGGTTTCACGTATGTTGTCACGATGAACAGGCAGACATCTAACAGAGCTGCCTTATCCTTATTAGAAAGCTTGTGTTGGGAACTTAGTAAAGCTATTTCTCTGTATCTCCGCCAAGGAATATTATTGAAAGTTCTACTAATTGTCGATAGTCGTCTCTAGCAACATCTTTAGCCAATTCATGTCGATAAAATTCTATCAGCTTTTCAGTCTCTGAAATATTCAGTCAAAAAGCTTTTCAGCATAAATCTGTATTTTCTCGGGATCCATACTTTTCCAGCTCTCGCGAAACTTTTTAAACATTGGAATGTCAATTCGTAGACGTGATGGCGGCAAGCAAAAATAAGCATTCCTTTATCAAGTTTCTCTTCGAGAAGCACGCAGCCACCGTTAATGCAACCGGTATTTGAAGCAATAGTATCACAACAGAGAATCTGAAGTTTATCTTCAAGATTCCAATAATAGCATCCAAAACTGCCTAAGCCTGCTCGCTGTATAAAGAGTTTTCCAATTTGGGCAGAGCGATAAGTTGATCTTTATACGTTATAACAATCGTTCTTCTTTGGACTTGCGTGCATTTAAAGGTAGCTACAATTTTCCATCCCAGTGGACAGTTACAGTATCCGGTACCTCGCTTTGGAAATCAATCTTTATAGCTTCTGCGCTACTTTCGCTTTTCGGTGCGTATACCTGACACCTATCTAATACTGCCACTAACTTTGGAGTTATGAAACATTTCCTCATTTGAGTTTGATTAGTATCAGGCTGTGCGCTCTGAGTTGGGATAAGCAAAGTTTCTTGTAAAACTATCTCGGAATCTGCAGATAAATTTTCTTGCACCGGTTTGTAAGATGATGTCGAAGGAATTGAGGAAGCAACATATTTAGCTCGCTCTCTTGTTCTTCGGTGTTCCTGAGATGCGCCTTTTCCTATTTTATGGCTAATTTCTTGTCCACCCCAGCTTAATGACTAGCTCGACCTAGCTCTCTCTGCCGCTGCAAGAATCCTATCCTATCCATGCACAATATCGAACAGATTGTCCAAGATTGCAACAAATACTTGTCGACGTTGCTCAACCACTTCTTGTGTTTTACTTGCATTTTTTTGCAAATCTCTCCAATCTTAGTATATAGTAACTAGTTTCTGAACACACTTAGGTAGAAATTTAGTCGGTATGCGTGCCTTTTCCCAGTAAATAATGCACTCACGAATAGTAAGGTTGGCGGTATAATGACACTTAATTTCACTTCTCGGATATTATAGATCAAAACTGCTAGTACTTGTCCATTAGAGGGAAGTTTTGAATCGGCAATTTGATGCTTGACGTCCTCTATTAAAAATATTCTCTTTTTAGAACTGAGTAATTCCTTCGACATGTTGACAGAACGAAATCAGTGCGTTTACGAATAGAACCAACGAGCACTCCAATACGTTAGCTAGCGCGTACCTAAAGCTATGCACAGATATGTAACAACACCGCGAACCGAACCACGCGACGTACCGCGCCGCGCTAGTGTAGACGGTGAAAAAAACGTCGTCGCGAACCTGATAAGTGTTACAGTTCGCCATTCGGCCCGATCCAGACTGTCGGTTTTTCAGCGTAACATCAAAGGAAAGGCTCGCGACGAAGTTGCACATGTTTGGACAGGGATATCGGTGCGGCAAACACGCACTCATATCAGTAAATGGATAAAGCCCATGAAAAAAAGATGGAAGGGTCGGAGGAGAAAACTCTTTTGATTATAGAGCATTACAGAGCAGGGGAATTGCGATGGGATGCAAAACATACCCTGCATTACAGTAAATTAAAAAAATGAGGTCTTTCACTGAACGACAAACACCAAAATTGGATCCTCATTTTACCGGTGTGAAGTTAGCAGCCAATTTCCCGAAGTTACCCGAACGAACAGTGGCGTCGGTCAGAAGGAATAATATGCTCTTATAACACTTGTTAGGGACACAATTATGATCAGAATAAAGTAACTGAGAGAACCTTCACGGGTGGCAGCCAAAAAAAATAAAAAATCGACTTCAACCCTTAGGGAATGGGTATCCTTAATGAAATGTACCTCGAAAAATTACTTACATATTAAGACAATTTATAGGATATATCAAATTTACTGAGCGAACTTCTAAAGGGGTAGCAGCTAAAAACCAGATAAATAAAAAACGATTTCAACCCTTAGGGAATGGGTGTCCTTAATGAAATGTACCTCGAAAAATTACTTACATATTAAGACAATTTATAGGATATATCAAATTTACTGAGCGAACTTCTAAAGGGGTAGCAGCCAAATACCAGATAATAAAAAAATCGAATTCAACCATTAGGGAATGGGTGTCCTCGATGAAAAGTATCTCGAAAAATTATTCATATCTTAAGACATTTTATGGGCCAGATCAAATTTACTGAGCGAACTTCTAAAGGGGTAGCACCCAAAAACCAGATAATTTACTAGGAATGGTGCTTTTAATTTCCATAACATGCATCACTGGTCAGATGAAAATCCAAAAGTTGTTCGCAATACAAACTTCCAACATAGATATTCATTGAACTTATGGGCAGGAGTAACTGGGGTCTTAATTCAGAGGTGTATCTGAACTTTCTTCAGAATGAGCTCATGGATATAATACTATTGGATGTGCGCCAGCAGTTTCAAGAAAATATGTTTTTTCAACATGATGGCGCCCCTGCACATTTTGAACGCAATGTTCGAAATTGGTTGAATGTCAATTTTCCAGACGGGTGGCTAGGCCGAGGAGGTCCTATAGCGTGGCCGCCACGTTCACCTGACCTAAATCCATTGGATTTCTATTTTTAAGGGTCATTAAAAGACCTAGTTTACTCCACTGAAGTAAATACTCAAAAGATCTACTCCAAAGAATCCATGAGACTGCAAATGAAATAAGAAGAAAAAGATTTTCCACTTTTCGGGCTACGCAATCATTAGTTCGTCGAGCGAGACTCTGTATCCAACAAAATGGGAATTCATTTTAACACTTATTGTAAAGCTAGTTTTAAGTATATCCAACTGTATGTCTTCTTTTTTAAACACATTTCAATTTCGTTCGTAGAAAAAATTTATTTCTTTTGTTTTTGCCTAAATGTTAGCTATGTTGCAATAGAAATATGTATTTATGTAATACCAATTACTAAATTAGTTTTTTCGTTGCCATGGCTAATTATTCAACAATTCATTTAAATTCGCAGTTCATTTCCTATCAAGTGACAAATTTTTTAGTTTGATTTTATTCAAAAATGACATAATTTATCGATATTCAATAAGAGTACCTTTTTTATGTATAAAATCCTAAATTTTCAAATTCTAAAATTGAATTTCAAAAATAGAATCACACAAAAATTTTGGGGCTAAAATAACCTGAGTCCGTCCCTGGTACATACGCTTCCAAACAAAACTGTCTAAAATTGTTAATATTTTTAAATCCAGCATAAAAAACTAGGCTAGAATACCAAATTTTATGTCTTTATCTCGACACGTTTCGGAAATATTAAGGAAAAACCATCTTCAGGGGAGCCCCTTTAAAAGACCGTAGCGCCCTTAGGGGACGTTTGTCGACCTATGTTTATATAAACTTTTCTTCCTATGTTAAGCTCTAGAAACCGCTCGTAGAATATTGCACACTTTTTTCGGGACACCCTGTATAAAAGGTATAGTCAGCAGTTTTTTGTTGATAAAAGCAATCCTGAAATTGAGTTTAAATAATAATCTGATGATGCTTTTTTGTGAAACAAAAGCTCTGTTGATACTAATGGCTGTACCCCAACATAGAATATTATACGATAAGTCGCTGTAATGTCCGCCTAAAAGGATGGTCTAATACAAGTGCAGATCCAGAGGAGAGATCTTGCAGCCGCCGCCATACCTTCCCCCGAAACAAACATCAATCCTCATTCACAGGGTGGATCCGCCTTTGGCACAAGGAAGTATTATTTTTACCTGCGACATAAAAATAAAATGCGAATTGTTATTTACCTGTTATAAAATCTAAAGAGGCAGTGAGTAATGGGTACCAGTTCAGATTCAGCCTCCTGGGAAGCTTTGTTCAACCACAAATGAGAGCTGCTTACCAAATGAGCTAACCAGTGCAGATCTCCAGATAATAGGTACTGATCACTATACCATGTTCCAAAGATATCATATGGTTTGTTTACCACTCTACATTGCAGCTCAAATCCATCTGAAAAAATATTGGTTATGCCACAATTACAAAATGGATCAAAGGTTATATTTGAACTGTGGTACCTAATGAATAGCATCAGAAATTCAAATAAATTTTACTGTCAAACCTACTACTATGGTTACATGAGTGAGTAAACTAAAATGTGTTCTTTATTCAAGTCCTATTATTTTTATTTGTCAAATTAGGTTTTTGAATGAAACATTTGCACTCAAGTTCAGCCTGAGTCACTATGGATTTTGAAAAATTGCATAGTTCTTTTTCATGCAACATATTATAGTAAAACTCCATGTATTATTTGTCCAACTCAACCATAATATTGAAAGAATGGATTGCAGCCTATGCATACAATACAGATACTTTACCCAGACTGAAGACAGCTATTTCCCCTGATGTACTATTTGTGGTGCCAAAATGAACTCCAGAAACCAGAAGCAAGGTGTCAGATTCATTGAATTGAGAATACTGCGTATATTTCCATTTGAAATACTTCATATTTCGAATATACTTTATTTTTGCTGGGTATTTAGATTTCCATACCTGTAAAAACAATTGAAAGGTTCAGCTGCCTTACTCTTCATGAAGTCAAAAAGTCCCCCACACTTCAATTTGATAAGCTAAAATTTGGGGTAATGAAATTCATGAACGCATACTATAGTTGGAAGTTTCAAGATTGCAGCTAGGCGCCATCTTGGAGCAATTTTTGAATAAAACAATAACATGGAGCAAATATTATTCTTAAACCTAAACATTTCTAAGAAAATATTTCATTATACAAATATACCTTAATAATTATCCTAATTTGTCATGTAATGGGAAAGAATTGTCATGACATCCATATAGAAAAAAGTTTTAACAGAGGATAATGATAATAAAACATAAAATAAAACAATCTTCTCATATTACAGAAAACAGTTGTGTTGAGCAGCGCCCATATATAAGAAAAGTACCTTAGCATGTACAAACACCCTAGGCGCACAACGTGCGCTCATTGTTTTTAGCAAATGCAACCACAGTATAGCATAGCTATGTGAAGAAAGATAATAATAATAGTAAAAATAGGCGTCTTTATTTGTTAGATCTACATAGCAGTAATGCTTTAAACTAATCCTGCTTGGCAATATTTGGCTTGGCTACTTTAACACCTAATAATATGATTTATTTATACAGAAACTTATTAAGAATTGCACAGATGTACTATAACATAAAAAAGCAGTTGCAAAAAGAACCAGTAACCAGCCCACGACTGATCAAGGTTGCAGCCCTGTCATACAACTGATTAAAATAGCACATTGTAATTGCAACTATCATCACCAAACTAGAATAACAAAGAAAAAAAAACACATTAGAACAAATATATATACTAGGGAAAGAATCTAAAATCATCTATCTCATTTACATTAGCAGTTTAAACAAAATATACACCTAAAAAGCAATAATAAAAAAATGCTCAACTTACTAAACCTAATATTTAACATTGTGAACATCTCTCTGTCACATAATTTTACTGTACAAGTATGGTGTAGGATATTATTTTATGAAAAAGAGTAGATGAATAACACTTAACCAGGAAGAGCTAGCAGATGTTTTGATAACAGGAAATTAAAATCACAGAAATTTGAATCATAGCTCCTAAGTAATAGTAAATAATGATGAGACCACAAAAATAATACACTCGCTAACATGGAAAGGAATGAAGATTAAGAGTAAATTAATCAAAGATGTATAAAAACACTACAATACCAAGTGATGCAGTAGTTAGTTCAACTGCAAATAATAGATGCATGATTTAGTTTTTTTCAAATAAAGGACATCTTTTGTGTGATAGCAGCATTATATGAAAAACTATGTTTGATCAATATTGTAGTATACTGTGGTATTACAATGATTCTACAAGGGTTCTTGAAGATTTCTAAGGGATGGGTTAAAAATTTGTTAATTGAATGTAATATTTTTTCTCAGATATTCAGAGTTTGGCACTAACAGTAATTTTTATACAAATAATGAATAATGGTATTATTATTTAACAAGGATATTTTTATATACAGGGTGACTTCGAAGTTGAGTCATTTATTTTAACAGTGAGTAGATCTGATCAAAAGAAATGTTTTTTTCCTTTACCATTTTTCTGGTAAAATTAAAGTAACAAAGTTATAGCCCTTTGGAAGTTTGAGTACCGCCCTGCCTATTATATGCTCGTGTTTGGCGACAACGGATATAATCCGCCTGACCGGTTCATCGCATCGGAAACAAAAAAGCGAAAGAATTTGAAACGTTTATCACGATGTTTTTCGTCAGTCGATAAATCCTGAGTGAATAGTAGTGTGTTGCGTGGCTCAAACGAAATCAAAAATGGCACATGTTTACGAAAATGCTGAACTTGTGGACATGATTCTTATTTACGGGGGGGCAGTCTTTACAAAATGCTCCCGGATGCATCACGGATTTATGCGAATCGGTTTCCCAATCGAGTGCAACCAACCCCTCGTGCCTTTGTTAATGTAGTGCAAAGGGCTCGTGAATCAGGTGACTTAAGACCTCACAGGTGAGGGCATGCTGCTCCAAAACCGCACGATCAAATACAGGTCCGCACTGAAATATTTGTCGGGAGGATACTTTATTAAACAAGGTAACATTTTTTTTTATTTTTTTTTTATTTTTACACACATATTTTGGTTTATCTTCCTTCTACAATCATTATCTGAAAATTAATGACTCAACTTCAAAGTCACCCTGTATATTGGGCCACTTAAGTATAAGATATTCTGTAGATGAGTGGTTAAATTTTCATAGATAATTTGGATTGTGTTTTTAGTGGATTGGTCTAAATTAGGAAATGATCAAATATTACACTAATTTAAGACATACTATAGCCTCATAAAATCACGTTTTGTATATTTTGGTTGTGTTCCAAAAATCGATTATGTCCCAAAAATAGAGAAAATACCAAAAAAAGACAATTTTTGTCTTGTGAATGAACTACTTTCATGCTCAAAAAAGTATATATCCAATTAACTGTGTAAGTTCTGACCTTCATTTACTTACCATTACATATCCATCTTTAGAACATGTCGCAAAATACTTTCCATTGTGTGAAAAACTGACATGTAAAACTTGATCTCCATGATCTTGTAGATTTTCTGTCTGTACAATAGGGATATTGTAACACAGCCTTTTGTATTCCTCATACCAAGAATTACCTATAGAAAAGAATGGATTTAAATTAAATTTAATAAGTATTCATAAGTAATATTGTAGAAGTACATGCAGCCATTTTTTATATTACCTGGTAAAACAGGGATTGACCTATCAACTAAAAAAATTTGGAAAAACAGATCTTTCCAGAGAAAATTGTCACGACTTGTTTCATACCACAGTTTACAGACTTCACCTGCAATTAATAACTCTTTTGCAGTTAAATGTTGGAATATTTTGTAAAGAACTGGATATGGTACATAGTTCCAATAGGTACTCTCCATTTCACTGGTTCATTTACTTTCTTCTACGCTAAACGTTTTGTCCATTTTCAAACAAGGGCACTATATATTGTGTGTTATAAATACAACATAAATAATTATATTATGCAGTTCTACACAATGCGATGCACTTGAACATCAACAAAAGATTCTAGGCAAACGTCAGAAACAGCTGACAGCTTAACCTTGAAAGACAGACGTAGGTTGGACGTAGGTATAAATGTGTGACGTAGTTCACAGTTGGTAAATCTAGAAAAATAATGACCGGTCACGTGAGAGTCGTTACCAGTGAGGCCACACCTCCCTTCCTAGACGAAAAGTGACGTCTGAAAGTACAGGAAAAATAGATATTTGTATATTAAGAGCAGGAAATATTAGGTTGACGCTCAAGAAAGCTGAATCCGCGTAACGAGATCTGTGCTGATATTTCTACAACGTCCCTAGTAACTTGCGGTTGAAACAACGATTTCCTTTATGTGAAGTAATTTATATAACATATTTGTCAAATTACTCTTACATACACATTCTTATATTATGAGATAATAATGACATAATAGCAGTCTGGTAATAGTAGCGGTCAAGCGCAATCGTCACCACAGAGCAGCAAAGCTGTTATTTGCACCGCGGCCTTGGACAACATTACGATTACTTTTGCAGGCCAAGGCGCGCAGTAAACACGTGGCCTAATTGTGGATCAAGATTCTCTCGATTTCGGAAGCTCGAAGTGCGAACCTTTTTCAAGATTATATTTTGTAGAAGAGGCACACATAGAGAAGAATGACGAAACGTTACTTTTTTATTGTATTTTATATAGCTATTAGTACAGAATTCAAAAAGACTTAGAAAAACATTGAATTGCTGCAGACATTTTGTTATCAAACTAAATCGTGTAATATTCAGCATAGGGTCATAAAAGTTGAATAGCTATGGGATAACATACAGAGGTTTTGACAATAACTTATGAGTTATAAATCACATACTTTTAGCGAGTGCTCTCCGTTTTATGCAAACTTAAGTCCTGTATGTTATTTAACCTTTAGGACCCTACGGGAAATATCACATAATTTGGTTGAGTAACACAAAAGAAATCTATACCCTATTTCACAAGTATCCATCATGCTTTGGCGTCTTCTGAGGTGAACAGGACAATAATGAATCGGGTGTAAATATTTATACTAAAACTTTTTGTTTTTTGTATGCAAAACTTTTCTGAATAAAAGAGCTTTTAGCAAGTACAAAATGAATCTGTAACGTAAAAAACCTAAACAAATCGTGGCTCTGTCTATCTGACATTGACGGATCCGTCAGAATTATGTGTGCTTTGCCGCTATGGGGAATTTTGAAATATTACTAATATTAGATAATCAGCTGTCATTCTACCGTAATGGATACTTTTGAAAAGGACTATATGGTTGCAATTCATTTTTTCTAACCTTAAACGGCGTATTTGACTTATTAAAGATGTATTTGACATTTTCAAATTTTTTAAACAGCATTTTCTTAAAAACCGAACCCTTGCAATAACGTGTGTAGCGTTTCCTGTATTTTGTATTCATTCTAACTGGTCTATAAATAGAGATGGATTTCGGAAATTAACGCTTCACAATGGCGCACTCAGGATAGCGTTGTGAATATTCGCTGTATATTTGATATCTGAACAGAATGATATTTAAGTTTGAACTAGCTAAATTTATTTTGATACCAAATTTGCAAATGAAACTTCAACGATTTCTCATACTCTCAGGTTTTATTCAGATTTCCATTCGATAATAATACCTACCTTCATACGCATCTATATTAACGTCATTAAAGACAAGTCTTCCGAATCCTAAAAAATATCATTATTTATTATCTTTAAAGACATGTGTGTAGTAGTACTATTTTAGCACTAAAGCAGTTGATGAAAATCAAACGATCTAACCTAACTTTTCAAATAATCATAGTACCAAACAGCAACGCCCCCTACACAACTCCTTATACTACGCCTATGTTCGACAAGCGAAAGCAAGAGGGCGAGAGAAGATCTCATAGACGCCATAAGTGTACAGTGAATAGTTGATTATTTTTGTTAAAATTTTGATAATATACTGGCAGCAATGTTGCTAGGTAAGTGTATTTGCTATGTACACGATGCCACTGGCCTGTACATTGTTTTTTTGGTGAATTTTGAGCTCTAAATGCATGTTAAACGCTTTTCTCATTTTGTACACAGCCCGCAGATACCCCAAGCTGTTCCGGCCCATATACAACAGTATTAACAAAAAAATGCCGATTTTCAAATTATATTCATCATAACGGGTTATTCTCTGCATGTTGTTTTTTAGAGTATTCCGTCAAAGGAACCACGGTCGCACTTTTTTTAGTATGTTTTGGTTACAATGGTTGTCAAGTAGGCTTGCTTATTATGTGAAATTGTGAACCGGTCAGTCGGCAAAAATATTCATTGCAGATGCATTACTGCTAGTAGCTAAATATCTTTAATACATTTGTTTTTAGCCATGGCAGAGTATTTTTTGATGTCTAAACTGAGAAATATTTCATGATTTTATTTGCATGAATCAAATCTTTCAAAGTATCACACGTTCAGTGGCGTGCAAGGGATCGGGTACTTTTTTTTTTTCTCAAGTGCAGGAGCCTTTAAAATGTTGATTTATGACTTTCAATCATGAATCTTTTGCCTGCTAGTTACCTGAGTTGTTATTGCTGCTTTTAAAAAATGATGGTTGCTGTAGAAGCTGTTGCTAACTTATCAGTGTTTATAGTGAATTTCATATGTTATTAATATATAGGCGTGTGCTCACCAAAAAAATCTTTCGCAAACGATGATATCTAATGTTTGTACATGCTTATAAATGGCTACAAATATGTTGTCCTCACCAAACAAACATATTCAAGAGACAGTCGCTTCCCACGCGATTTGAACTTGTTTGTAGATGTTCCGTTGGTGTGTCAGGTGATAAATTAAATTATATCAAAGATGCCTTCTTTCAAAATAAAAATCAAATCTGTATGTGCTGCATCTTTAGTTATACTGTACAAGTAAATAGAACAAAAAAGTCACAAAAAAATAAAAAACAAATTTTGGGTGTTCAATTATTATTTGTACACTTTTTCCTGTTCCCCAACTCTGAAGTTCTTTTCCTTTTTTCTTCTAAATGAAGTTGTCAAAGAGTTCATTTTGGCCTCAACAATTTCATTTGTTGTATTCATATTAGACGCTATATCATTCGAAGCATCTTGTTTTCTAGTTTTTATGTGATAGAAGCCATGTTTTGGATCCCATGATTCTTGTATGGTCCTATATATATATTTATAAGATGTAGACACCTATCATCATCCCGCTCCATGATAGTCTAAATATCTAATAATAAAACAAGAAAATATAATATTACTTTTTGGCCTTAATTAACTCTTTGACAAGAGGCATAGCAAAAGTATTTCCTGAGGGCATGTATAGCCTCTGTATTCTGTAAGCCCTAAAAAAAGCAGTCTTACCTTTTTTGAATATGAGTCCACTTACAAAACTGGATTCTATAGTCTTACTATGGTGATGTTCTCAGTGATAAGCTGAGAAAAATATGTTGACAAAAAAGTTCCCAACCCTTCTGTATAGTACAAAAAAAAAAGATTTTATGATTTCTTATAGCCATTCAAATACTTGCAAATAACTTCTACTAATTTCCTATAGCCACATTTATTATAAAAACTTCAATCTCATAGTTCTAAAGTAAATGGCTTACAAATCATAGCTAAATGGCTAACCTGGTACTGTTGCCATTATTTTGTCACTTAGAATATGGTTTAAGAATCAAATGTTGAAACTCAATAAGTTGGTTACAGCAAAATGTTCATGTTCAGAGCTTATATTTCCTTCATAGAACACCCAGTGGCATGATTCAAATAAGAACTATTTACCCTTGTGGAATGATTTTCATAATTCTGTGCATTAATAACCTGCAAAATGTTAATTTTGGCACATGGGTTTCCATTGCCAATTTCATTTGGTTTTTACTAATCACAAAGTTCAAGTGCATTATAATGAAGTGGAAAATCTTACTAGTAGTATAAGTCAAAAATCTCCTTTTGACAATTCAAAATGTTTTTCATGATAGAAAACAAGATGTACCCATTTACCTTGCACTTGATTTTTGACTGCACATGCCTAAACTTGTCTGTAACATCAATGTTCCTTTTATTTAAAACAAATTTGTTAAGTAATGAATTAACATGAAAAATCATAGAACAAATGTAAATAAAATAAACCAGAACACAGAACAGATATTTTGAAATTAGTTCATTTAGTTCAGAATGTGTTCCATGAGCTAAAAATACAATGTTTATGCTTTGTTTGCTTTTTTTTAACCATATTGGTCCTTGCTACTACTTTTTTATATAATATATTACGACAGTACTTTGTTGTTTTACTGATATGTTGGAAAGAAATGTATTCCTATTTCCCATCAAACAATTCAACTAATAGCTTAAAGTGAAACTAACAATGTCATATGTTAAAGTTTATCTTTCAGTCACTGAGAGAAGGTGGGCTTGGTTCTATTCCCTGGGGAATGATCCCAAATTGTGACAGCTATTGAAATTTGCCAAACAAATTTGTGCATACATTCATTTTTAGGCAAAATAAATATTCGTTCCCAGATTCTTCATGTCATCAAATATTCCATCACAAAGTTATTTCATCTTTAGAGATGAGATTGACTGACGACGGCGATACTTCCGCGCGCTTTCTGTTGAAAGTAATTGACGCCCAGTTTCTCTCACTTATTCTACTTCCTCATTTCAATAATTAATCTGCTGATGTATAATAGATACCTAACAGCCGAACCACAATCTATGTACAGGACATGCCAGAACTGACTTACATAATTCACCTTTTGGAAGCAAAATATTGATATTCTATTGATTATATTTTTTAAAATTACCCCATTATTAGCAAATGAAAACCAAAATACAGTAATTCCACTTTCAAACGTTTTTAATAAACATGAATTATTCCTTTCCTAATTTTAGGTCAGTAACCGGTGACTTGTTAACCTGTGATGAACACCGCTCTGACTTCGCCAAATTCGCTGTCTAATCAGCAGTCGTCTCCGCCGCCACCAGCGCCACCTAGCGGCAAAGACAAGGAGCACGCCCATCCAGCAGCCTCAGGCAAAAACATGCACCCCCAGGGGGCGCAAGCGACCGCTTTTGGCCAATCGCAGAATGTCTTTCCCAACATGAATGCGGCACATAGTCATCCAAATGCTCAACAGGTATTGATAGTTAAAAATGTCTTAATCCTATCAACTTACATTACATAAACTAATTAGTATGATATTGCAGTACGTTCTGACATTTATTTAATATTATCTCCACTATATGTATTTATTGTAAACATGCTTGGTTTCATGTTAGTTGCAAATACTGCTTCTGTGCAGATATGTCAGATGTCTATTTAAGTGTCCTTTTGTGTAAACTATGTAGTGGCAGTCGTGAATCTGTTTAAATTTAGTATTGTATCATAACTATTTTTGCCAGTTATTGATTAAAATTTACTAAATTATTGGCTGAAGTTGGATGAAGTCATGTGTACCAAAACTTTCCTCATTACTTTATCTAAACAACTCACTGCATTGGCGTCGCTAGGAAGTACAATACTAGGTCTCTGCCACTTTGTGATATGAGGTTGGTATTTTGAATGTGACTGGATGATTAGCTGTTATTCATTATAACTTTTTGAAATGTTGAATTATAGTGGAAAAGAAAGTATTTAATAATAAGTAATAATGTCAGTTCTCGGTTTTCGGCGGTTACATCATCAGTGTCATATGAAACAAATTAACAAATGAAATAACTGTATGATGTGCAGAACTCAATACATTAGAAAATATTGTACTCTGCGCAAACCAATGTTGCTCGACAAGAGCATACTCACACTGACAGTGATAAGCATAGATGAGGAATGTTCTGGAGAGTTTGCGAGGTGGAACCGTTCACCATGTTCATCACTTACCGCAAATACATTTTCCGGAAAAAATCGAGATGAGAATCCATAAAGTGAATTTTTAGAGACATTCCTTTATAAGCATTAATTATTTCACTCACAATATCTTTATAATTGTCCGCCTTCACATTGCCTAAAATATAGTAACTGATTTAAAAGCATTCCAAGCTCGTAATTCAGTTTCATTTAGAGCACTGTCAAATACATCATCCTTCATGATTTTCCTTATTTGTGGACCCACAAATGAGCCCTCTTTAATTTTTGCCTCACTAAGTCTCGGAAATGTTTGTTTTAAATGAGAAACCCTCTTCCATTTCGATCCATAGCTTTCACAAAAATTTTCATCAGTCCCAACTTACTATTAAAAAGTGGAAGCAACACGTTTTTGGGATCAACTAGTGGTTCATGAGCGATGTTTTTGAGGCCTGGAGTTAATACCTGACATAGTGGCCACTCCTGTCCATAATGACGATCTCGCGCACGACTGTTCCATTCACAAAGAAAACAACAATATTTGGTATATCTCAGTTGCATTCCAAGAAGAAGGGCTATTACCTTTAAATCTGCGCATATGGCCCATCCATATTCATTATAACGGATATGCTCTAACAGAACTCGCATATTTATATTTTCATATGATTCCTTCATATGAACTGCGTGCGCTATAGGTACAGATTGATATTTATTACCATTGTGTACCAATACCGCTTTTAAACTAAGCTTAGAGGAATCAGTGAACAGGCGCCAATCATTTGGATCATGTTTCTGTCCTAACGCGTCAAACAAATTGTTGACATCGGAGCAATATTTCAACTCCCTTTCTTGACGAAAACAGTGTGAGAAATCTTGTTACCGTTTTCGGTAAAAAGTAATGTTAACATCACCGTGGCGAAGATTCCATTCTTTTAAGCTTGACGCTAAAAGTTCTGACTGGGATTTTCACAGATTTAATTCTTGAACTAAGTCATTAAGTTCGCCCTGTGTGATCCCACTATTTTTTTTTCATAATCACTGTTGTGAAGAGTTCCAGAGTAAGAACCAACTTGTGGACCAATCTCTAGAAATCTATTTTCACATTCTAGTCCAACGTTATGCTCTATTTGACCAAAATATCCTTAATAGATCATTTTTAAGTTTGAGAAATATGTTCACTAAAATCCAAAAACTCCAAATTAGGAAAACATAAATAAATGCTATTATAATTGAGTATAAAAGAAACAATTGAAAACAATCCTTTGAATTAAGTCCAAATTTCGCTAAATGATCTTGTAAAAGTGTTTGACTTGACTGAAATGAAAGGAGTTGATTTTTAGGGGTTAGTTAAAGTTTACCAAAAAGGAGTCAAGGAGATTTACTCAGCACTTCCCAAGTACTCCCCATGCAATAATACAAATTCATATAAAATTTTAGATTCATAAAAATTCAGCTGTCATTGATGACAAATGATAATATGAAAAAATGCCCAATTTGTTTCTTGAATCTAAGGTATTTTAACTACGCCAGAGAGGTGAAAAAATGTCGAAAAACAAGGTTTGTATTTTTTTTACCCTAATATCAAGCTCAAAAACCATCAGATAGTCAAAAAAAGGAGACGTCCAACATGGACAGCTGTTTCGTGCTGTTTGGCAACTTTTCAGCATGGTGCAGGCCTGGTCTCAGTCAATAAATGGAAGCTGAACAACTCTTTTCTATTCAGAGTATGACAGTGTAAGGTATATCAAAATAAGGCAGCACAAAGACCAAAACCGATCACTACAAAAGTGAAAACATCACTTTGTGCTGTCTTATTTCAATTGTCTAAGTTTACACGAAACTTTTACGTCATTGGGTACTTCTGAATTAAAGAAAGGGCCAAGGATTACCGGACAGGCGACAAGCGACAACTCGATAGACAAATAGACATAGTACTCTATTTCAAACTCATTGCGTGGACAACATGCTGATTTTCATTTGATACTTCACAGAGTCGCCATTTTTTCCGGATCTCGTACACTGGGGAGATAAACATCCTATTAGCCAGTTAGTCAGTTAGTTCAGTTTGGCCAAAACCATACGAGTAAATTTGCTTTCAGAATCATTTTTCGATGGGCAGCTTTAATATGGGTGCCATCCAACCCAGCAACCACCCAGTTGCCAGTCAGCAGCAGTCAAATGCTGGTGGACCCCAATTGTTCAACCCATCCAAGAGTGGGCCCTACTCCGCCACTTTCCAGGGTAATATTGTGCATCAGACACATCAGAATGTAAGTAAAGTAAGCCATTTATTTTGTTATTTCGGTATTGAAGTCTCTACTCAGGACGTGCTTAAAGAAGACGTAGGTAATTTTTCATGTCTACTACCAAAAATGCATTTTGTGAAAGTCCATAACGCTTATGATTATTCTTTGATTTTTGTCTGTGATGTATGTTGGTTGTGCAATTAGCGTAATAATAGACAATTATATATTTGATTAAATAAAAAAAAAAATATGTGGGTTAGCCTTTTTGCTGTTATGGTATCACAATACCAGTGGATCATGAAATACGTGATATATCCCATTTAGTAGGGATGCATCGAGTACTCGGTCTGTACTTGGTACCCGGGTCACCGACTATCAAATTATTCGACCGGGAAATTACTTGGTCAGAACACAAATAACATTGTGAATCAAAGAATTGTGGATGCAACATGCAATCTGAGCTTATATCTCAATATATTCACACACACCACCAAACAAATCTCAAGGTTACCACAAAATAACAAAAATGCATCAAAAGTCAAAAAGGTATGTTTTCTCTGATTCTGCAAAGAAAACCGTTAGTCATACGTAGGAATAATTCAGGCTTAACTTTTTCTAAATATGAGTTGGTTTTTGGTTGGTTTAATTTGTTTTGTTTGTTACCTCCTGAAATCGGACCATTAACCTATGATATGGTCGGTTATTGATGGCCATGATATGGCAGCAATTCTAATAGATAATTATTCGAAATTTGAGCAGCATGGGGCTGGTACTACCTACGTTCAACAAAAGTGTAGACTTTAGGGGTTGCGCATAAACCTTTCAAATATAAAGCTTTCATTTAAAACTTCACAAACAAGTCAGTAAATATCTTCCATCATGTGAATATCACAAACGTTCTTTTCTCCTAATAGGGGAGATTGAAGGGTATATCAGAAAAGTGTTTCAAAAATGTTATGTCAATTGTCTTGAATTCTATTTGAACATAAGAGGGTGCTCATTTGAAAACTTCCCACCACGGATTCATCGAAAACCACTGATTGAAAGAAACAACGCCGAGACACGTCAAAAGATTTGTCAAGGGGGACAACTTGTTAACCAAAAACTAGTTCACCCTCTGCCCCCATGGTCATCCCCTTGAACATTTTTATTGACAAGGGGTATCGAGTAATAGCTTGTTTGAAAAGTCTTTCTAACTCCTTTATTTTGAAGGTTGATTTTTTAAAATCGATGGATTCGTTTTCAAGAAAATTGGAAAAATCTTTAATCTTAATTTGTTCAGATAGAAAACAAAACACACAAAAATATCACTTTATATAGACGATGTTCAAATTTCTGAAGGATATTTCCAAAAACATGTTGTGGGATATCATGGCAGCTTTCGATGATATGTTGACAAAGTTTATCCAAACTTTCAGGTTGGGGAGTAAACACAATAGATTCCAAATGGTTCTATAGAAAAAAGTCTAAAAGCATCAAATCAGGAGATCTAGCCGGCCATTAAATAGGCCCTCTTTGCCCTATCCATTTATCTGGAAACTCGTCGTCTAGCCATTGCCTTACCGGAAGAACATAGTGAGGAGGAACACCATCTTGCTGGAAATATATTTCAGCCTCATCAAGAATAGGGTTTCCTTCCTCTTCGATTTGGTTTTCAATCGTTTCAGTGATAAGCGGATTGATGGTATTTTCTAACATATCCAAATAAAAGTCTCCACTCAAATTTCAATTAATAAACTATGGCCCAATCTTATTTGGTTGGTTTTAGGGTAGTAGGCCGTCGTAAAATATTTTTATTTGACGTTTCGCCAACACGAGTGGTTGACATCTTCAGAAGGTGTTCACAGTTCGGAGTCCTGTGAGCTACTGACATCTCCTCGGTCTTAGCTCATATTTATATGTCCCGGCTCGAGTGGTGGGGAGAGCTTTCGGGAATCCTCGGCTGGCGTCGCGCTCGGGATGACTCGGCTGTTGTTTTGCCATTTGGATGACGCAATGACCTGGGCTTCTTCAAATTTAATGCTGTGGTCCGTTTTGCTGAGTGTATGTTCGGCTACAGCAGATTTTTTTACTAGACCCAGATGGCAGTTCGCTTTGTGTTCTTTAATTCTGGTATTCACTGATCGTTTTGTTCCGATGTACACACTTGCACAAGTAGAAGGTATGCGATAGACTCCCGAATACGACAGCGGGTCTCTCTTATCTTTTGCCGATCTTATGTTTGTCGTTGGTCTGTATATTGTTTTGACGTTCTCCTTGAGAAGTAGACGTCCAATTCTGTCTGCGACTCTGGGAATATATGGTGGAAATGCTTTGGCCACTGGTTTTTTGTTTTCTTTAGCTCTGGCATTACTTGATGTCATGGATTTTCTAATTTCCAGCTCTGAGTATCCATTATTCGCCTTTGAGCTGCTTTTTGATGTTTGAGTTCTAAATCCAGTTCTTCGGGGTCACAGATTCTCCTGGCTCTTTCTGTTAGTGTTTTAATGATGCCATATTTCTGACAAGGCTGGCGATTGGAGTTCCTATGCTGATACCAGTCTGTGTGCGTTTGTTTTCTATATACCGTATGACCCAGTCGTCTCTCTCGGCGGGTTAGTAATACGTCCAAGAAAGCCAGTTTGCCAGTGTCTTATAGCTCCATGGTGAATTTGATGTTGTTATGCATGTTATTGATATATGAGTGAGGAATTCATCAAATTTCTCGAGTCCGTGACTATATTACAAAAGTGTCATCGACGTATCGAAACCATATTTTGGGTTTGTATGGTGCACTGCTGAGAGCACCACTGGACTCGAAAGGGCTGCCCATTGCCACACCTTCAGTTTGTTCGTATATTGTGTTGTCCCACGAGAAGTATGTAGTCGTCAGGCACAGTCTGTATAAATTGGCAATGTCCTCTGGAAAAATACGGCTGATCTGTTCCATTGCAGCATCAACTGGTACTTTCGCGAAGAGCGATACTACGTCAAAGCTGACTAGTATATCGTTTTCTTCGAGATCAATTTCGTTGATGTACGTGTTGGATTGCCCAATGTGTGTTGAAGCAGGGTTGCGAGGTGCTTGGCTAGGTAATATGTTGGTGAGCCTGTAGCACTAACAATGGGACGCAACGAAATGTTGGCTTTGTGGATCTTTGGTAAGCCATATATTCGTGGAGTTAGTGTCTCACTTCTGCACACCTTTTTCTTAATTTCATCTTGAAGGCTCGACTTTTGTATCAGTGATTTCGTTGTTCTGACAATGCGTTGCGTTGGATCTCTGGTTAGCTGTTGTTAGGTGCTCGGATCTAAGAGGTCAGGACACTTCCTCTGGTGACAAATTACGGCTACTTAAGTTGGTGACCGTTCTGCTGGTACCTAGTGTAGGCTTGGACTTTTTGCTTCTAACGAGATTTTCAAATTTCCTATTTCCTCTTTTGACGTTCCGTATTTCTCTGGAGTTTATTTTCCATGCTTTTGCACGAGATGGAGTCTATCTTGTCCCAGTCTGCACGGTGAAGACAGTTACTTAGATGATGAAAAACGTCAATGAGTTTTTTGTCAATGCAGTCTAAATTTCTTCTGGTGAACTGAATTCTTTGTCTAAGAAGTGATTTTACCATCCGACGGTAGATCCTCCTGCGCCTCTATGGGAGGAAGTAACACTACGATATCGACAACTACAACGACTAAGGAAACAGAAAGCTCAACTATTGGCTTCCCTGGCATTTCTGTCCATATGCAGGGAAGATGATGTGATTCCGAACTTTCTGAAAAACAAACGGCTGATCGGATCCACACAGCACAAAGTAATGCCAGAGATAAAAAAACAACCGACCAGTGGCCAAAGCATTTTTGACATATATTCCCAGAGTCACAGATAGAATTGGACGTCTACTTCTCAAGGAGAACGTCAAAACAATATACAGACCAACGACAAAGATAAGTGAAAGTTTGAGATCGGCAAAGGATAAGCGAAATACGTTTTACTTGTGGAAGTGTGTACGTTGGAACAACAAAACGATCAGTGAATCCCAGATTTAAAGAATACAAAGCGAACTGAAAGTACACAAAACCTGGCTACCAGTATTAAAAAAACACAAAAATTGCGTCATCCAAATGGCAAAACAACAGCCGAGCCGTCACATATAAATATGAGCTAAGACCGCGGAGATGTCTGTAGCTCGCAGGCAGTGCCGGATGCTCCGTTGTTCGATTTTCGTCCGCCGGCGCGCATGACGTCACGCTGAGAGTTATTCTCATTTGAGTTGATATAGATAACGTGCATATTTTCACCTACAGGCTGGACGGATTTTCACATTGAGGTGTCGTTGGATTCGTCTTAGCGGTGCGAGTGACACTAGCTACATTAAGTTTTTATACAAAACAAAATGGTGGATTTTAATAAAAGTTTTCAAGCTTGTAATTCCTGTTTCACAGGCTATAGCTTAAACGGATTTGTAGCTCCACAATAGAGCGTATCGTCACTTTACTGTAAAAACAAGATAGCTCCATTTCTCTACATTACCTATATTTTAGTATGTTCTGTGGAGCAGGATCAACATGCTCATGACGTTAATACTGCACAACAGTTATCCTTATTTCACAGAACATCCTAAGTGTGAAAATGTACTCAACTCGAAAAGTAGAAAAAAGGAGTTATCTTCTTTTTGCAGTAAGCAGCAAACAATAAATGGAAATGACTTAGTCTAAGCAATAATTTTTCTCCATTTCCTTTTACGATTTTTCTGTTATTCCAAACTTTTATTCAGTTCTTTGATCCGGAAGAACATCCTTGACCTATAAAATAGTTTTTTAGTTTTTTCGGGGCAGTCAATATTGCTGCTCTTCAACCGAAGTTCGCCTATAAATTTTGCTTTTCTGTCATTATTCCGTCCCCATTGAATGTAGTCAACACTTTGCTCAGCTTCTCAATTTGATTCATGAAAGCTGTGGAAGGTTTTGATAATCCACCCTCACTAAGATGGTCTATCCAGAAATAAGTTTCAGTTGAGGAACACTTTAACCTCTCATCCTGTAATTTGTGACAAACAAAGCCGGCCAAATTTTCCAGCCCATCATACTCGAGCTTATCTATTTCTTCCACTAAAACTTCCTCGTTATAGTTAGCTGATACTTGAGGTGCATTCAGTTTATTCGGTTAGTGGAATGTCTGGAATATCCTCTGAGAATACGCCTTCGTTTCGCCCTAAAATATAAGACCTTATTCTATAATTAAATTCTAGGGGACTTGGATGGTCATGAAGACCACCCTCTGCCTTAATTACTCCGAAAACGTTTTCTATCACATCTTGATTAAGACGTCTTGTTAACAGATACTGGACCCTGAAACGCGTTTTAGATCCTCTAGGAGCAAACCCTGGCGCTTTTCACATTAACTTTGTCTTTCCTTTTTGTAAGATGTAACCATTTTTTGCGGTCTTGAGGAAAACTGGAACTTCTGTGGAACTTCATGTCTTTGCAAGGATTCCATTTAGATTGGTTGTTGGAATAACATCCCATAACAGCACACCGCATTTTTATCAATTTATCAACCATAATGTATAGCTGATATAACAAGTCACCAAAACAACCCAAAATGACCAACAAATCGCATTATATAGTATTAGCCTCAATACATGTGCACTACAGTAACGTTACGACAATCCTGCCTCGTAAACCACGAGCCGACAACTCTCAAGGTGACGTCACGAAGCTCCGCCCACATGCGCAACATCCTATCTTCAGTGTATGTGTATTGTGGCTCACAGGACTCCGAACTGTGAACACTTTCTGAAGATGCCACCCACTCGTGTTAGCGAAACATCAAATAAAACTATTTCACGACGGCCTAACTACCCAAAAACCAGCCAAATAACATTGGAGGATGGACGCGAAAGCCTTTCGCATTTCAATGGCCCAATCACTTTGTTTCCTAAAATGTCTGCCCATACACTAATTTTTTGGGGCTACTGGGTATGCCCTTCTACAAAAGTTTGAGGATTACCTGCAGTTATGCTTATTAACAAATCCATTTAGAAAAAATGTGCATTCACCAATTGAGCGGCTTCATCCAAAACTCTCTGATGATAACGTTTTTTATTTGCAACAGATTCAGTTTGAGTAAATTTAGTAACGAGGTTCAAAACATACCTATGGAAAGTTATCTTCCCCAGATGTCTGACGTTAAACGTGACACTTATTGAAAAAAAGTGATATTTTCGTGTGTTTTTGTTTTCTATCTGAGCTAATTAAGATAAAGATTTTTCTAATTTTCTTGAAAACGAATCGATCGAGTTAAAAAAAATCAAACGTTAAAATAAAGGACTTCGAAAGACCTTCCAAACAAGCTATTACTCAATACCCCTTGTCATTTAAAATTTTTAAGGGGATGACCCTGGGGTGCAGAGGGTGAAGTAGTTTTTGGTTAAAAAGTTGTCCCCCTTGACAAATCTTTTGACGTGTCTAGGCGTTTTTTCTTTTAATTAGTGGTTTTCGTGAAATGTGCCCTCAGATGTCATGTATAACATCCCTTAAATAGATTTTCCCAAAATGTATTTGTTTATGAGTATTACTCCGTCCACACATGGATGGGCCACCCTATATATATATATATATATATATATATATATATATATATATATATATATATATATATATATATATATATATATATATATATATATATATATATATATATTGTATATATCAATTTATAACAGGCTTTTTAAGGATTGAAAATATCAATTTTCAGATTTTTTCTTAATCGCTTATGTCTGGAAAATTGTCAATTTTAGTAAGGACTTTTTTGTGTAGAATGTTGCCAAAAACCAAAATTGTCTCGGACGAATAAAACAATATTTCGTTTGTTGAAATAAGTGTTTAACCCGCACCTGATTCATACTAAGAGACATCCAGCAAACTTGATTATGAAAAAAATTCCGAAAATATCTCGCACAAATGCGATGTTTTTCAGCAAACAAATCTGCCTCCAGTGAGCCAGGCTTTACCTCCAACCTCACAGCAACACTCAAGTGCTGTTACTACTGGAGCGTTGTCCAATACTCCAGTTCCATCTACAGATGTAGGGAAGCCACAAGCAAATGGAACCAGCGAAGTCAGTTCAGCACCGACTAAGGTGGATTCGTCTTCAACAGGAAACCATGTTTCTTCATCAGCAGCTCAACCTGCACAGGTAAGTAGTATTATTCTGTGTCTTTCAAAAAATAGTTTCTCAACCTCAACACTATTGTTGAATTTTTGTATGGCAGTACACCTCAAATGAAAAATAATAATAATGATAATAATAATAAATAAATAAATAATAAATCGTCTTTACTTATAAAGTTACATAGTATCGGGCGAAGTTTAGCTAAATAGCTACTCTTCCACTTAACCCTATTATTTTCATGGTTGGGAACCAATGTAAATACATGTAATTAACATGTATATATATAGTGGCTAACCAAAGGAAAACAAAAATATTGCAAGACATAATATAGAAAATATAAACAGATTCAGCAACACGTCAAATAAAATTTTTCTGGCGGTTACTAATCTAAACTACAAACTACTACTTAATTACTACTACGAGTCATTTTTGATAGCAAATGCTGTTTGACACAAACTTTAAATTTAGTTTGAGATAAATTTTTGAATGCATCAGGTAGCACGTTATACAGTTTGACACAATTATACCTAAAAGAGCGAGTAAATAAAGCCGTACTGTGCCGTGGAATATCTAATAATTTGCCACACCTGAGCATGCGATCTCTAACCGATTGCATGAAAACAATTTTTTGGAGAGGTATTCGGGAGTTCCCGTGATAATCAAATTATGAATGAACTTCAAGATAAAATACTCGTAAGAGCTATTAATATCTAACCATTTTGAACTACGAATACAGTGTGAAACATGGTCATATTTTCTTAAACCGTAGATGAGGCCACAGCACGAATTTTGAATCAGTTGAAGTCTGCGAATTGAGACTTGATCTAAGTAAGGATAGAAAACTATAAGGCAGTAGTTGATTTTTGAGAGAACTAGGTTTTCACAAAGATGTTTTTTCAATTTGAAATTGATGAAATGCCTATAACAAACAATGTTTTTAGTACAACAAAGCAGTTTCTTACTAATTTAGATATATGCTCACGAAAACGTAAATCCTTGTCAAGTAAGACACCCAAATTTTTTGCAAGATCCTCATAAACTAAAGAAGTGTCATTAATGCGTACTGTCGTGTTATTTCTGATATTAATGATTTTGTTTTTTGGTGCAAAGAGAACAGCTTTAGATTTAGAGACATTTATCGTTAACACGTTCACTGCGAACGACGCTGATCCGCGTCCGTCCGATGTTTAACGAAAGGCGGCGGGCGCGGATCCGCGCTTCTGGCTGATATAAACTCACAAGACTGTGGTGTTGTCAGTTTGTACCGCACTCGCTTTATATTTGGTTGCCTACATATTGAACATCTTTTTGGACTATTTTACGCGTGGGATCAAGTTTCGTTTTTTTTTACATTGCGCAATGGCGGATGATGTGGAAGCAGGTTGTTCACGTCCAAAACGAGTGAAAACGTATTGTAACCGTAATAAATGGCTTACAGAAAAAGAACTGTATGATATTCTTGCAAATTCGGGGAGTGAAATCGAGAATCTAAATGACTCAGACAATTATGTTCCCAGTTCAGATGGAAGTGAGCAGTCTGATGGAAATATGTCTGAAACGAGTAATGATTTTTCCAGCCCACAGCCACCTACAGCTGCGAATTTAGTAGATACGAGCATGTGGAATGATGACGGTAATCTGAATGATTTCGTTTTTACCAAAGTAAACCGCCTTTTAGTACCAGTGCCGGCCTCAAAAGAACCTATCGATTTCTTCAATTTGTTAGTAGATAATCAGCTTCTTGAAATGATTGTAGAGGAAACGAATTATTACGCTGCACAGGTTTTTCTGTCATCGCCTGGGCATGAAAAAGCACGAATTTCTTACTGGAAGACCCTAACTGTTCCAGAGCTACGAAAATTCATGGGTCTTGTATTTCATATGGGGACATGGAAAACTAATCGCCTCCAAGATTATTGGAAAACTGATCCCCTTTTTAATTTGAAATGTTTCCCTAATGCTATGAGTAGAGATAGGTTTATGCTAATATTAAGATGCTTGCACTTTGTGAAAAATCCAAAAGAAGGAGAGCCTGTCCCAGAAGATCGAATATATAAAATTCGAAGCCTTATCACATATTTCAATACCAAAATGACTGAAATATATCAGCCTGGAAAAAACCTATCCTTAGACGAGTCCATGGTATTATGGCGTAGAAGACTAATTTTTAGGCAATATATAAAGAATAAGCGCCATAAATATGGCGTAAAATTATATGTTTTGACAGAGACTTCTGGGCTTGTTCTCAACTTGACCGTGTATACGGGCAGGTTACAATCTTCAGGCGGAAAAGGACATGTACAACGTGTTGTTTTAAACCTAATGGAGAACCACTTAAATTCTGGGCACTCACTATTTATGGACAATTTTTACAATAGCGTACAGCTTGCAGACGAACTCATAAAGAAAAAGACCTATTGTACGGACACATTACGTCACAATAGAAAAGAAAATCCTCGTGAAATTATAGAAGTTGAAAAAGGGCGAAAGTCAACCGAAGTATCGCAATGGAGTGACGGTTGGCAAATGGAAGGATTCTAGGGATGTGCTCTATATATCAACAGAATTTAAGAATGATATGGATAAATGCTACAATAAAAGGGGACAAGAGAAAATAAAACCAGTTCCTGTTATAAAATATAACGAAAGCATGCGTGGTGTTGATCAAAGAGATCAATTGTTGTCATATTATTCATGTGATAAAAAGACATTACGCTGGTATAAAAAATAGGGATCCATATCATGCAACAACTTTTACTAAATTCTTTTTTTCTGTATAACAAATATTCCGGAAATAAAATGAATTTGTACGATTTCCGCTTAAAAGTTATAAAGAGTTTGTTAGAAGTAGAAAATAAAAATGTTCCCGCGCAAAAAGAATCAAAAACTAGGCATCTTCCTGTAAAAATTTTAGACAAAAATCAAAAGGGCGAAACAAAACGAAAGAAATGTAGATTATGTTCATCAAAAAAAATCAGAAAAGATACAGTTTTTGAGTGTCGACAGTGTCCAGAAAAACCAGGACTTTGCTTAGAAGTTTGTTTTGAATCGTATCATAAAAATCGTGTCTAGTATACTCGTTTTTCCATTAGATAAAAAATATTTAAAATATTATTTATTTTTCTTTGCATTATTTTTGTTATCCTTTGTTTGATTTTATATTTTATTTTATTAGAAGACTATGTTTGTTTTGTTTGGTCCCAATATAAATATTTTTATTACTTTGAATAATGCATGTTAAGTTTGTTTCAGTGCCATATATCTTTTGATAGGTTTTGATGTGTTACTTTGTGTTATTTCACATTATTTTGTTATTATTCTAAGCTTCTATTTGAATATCATTGTTTTGTTCTTTTCTATAATAAACTTGTTTTACTGAATATTTGTTTTTGTATTTTATAGTCTGGTCTGAAATTAATTGAAGAAAAATCTTTAATAGGGTTTCAAGACATGTTTCATGTTACTGCACGAAAAAAAACGAGATAGAAGAAGAAAATGTATATATGAAATACTTTTCAATTACACAACGCACATCCAATAGGCGTACGACGCGAATCCGCGCTTCGCTTGTGCAGCGCCTAAAATCGTTCAGCCGCTACCGTGCGCGCGGCGCGAGGCAGGTCGCAGCGAACGTGTTAAGGAGCTATGCTTGGAAAAACTAACAATAGTGGCTAAGTCACAATTCAACTCAACAGCTGCTACACAGTCATCTTAATCAAAAGTTTTACATATTATCCGCAAAAATCATCACTTCAGAGGAGCGTATCAGTTTACACATGTCTGATATGTAAATGGAGAAAAATTGTGGTCCTAAAACAGAGCCTTGCGGGACCCCTGATATCACATTCTTATATGTCGAATATGAGTTGTCCAAATGTACCCTTTGCATACGATTCATGAGATAACTAGTAACGAACTTGATAGATGCTTGAGAAAATCCAATATATTTGCATTTTGAGATCAAAAGTGAATGATTGATAGTGTCAAAAGCCTTGGAGAAGTCAAGCAGTACAAGAGCCGCTGCTTGACCCCGATCCAAAGCCTCAACAATATCATCAGTCACCTTAAGCAGGGCAGTGGTGGTGCTATTCCCTACTTTGAAGCCAGACTGTTTTTTTGGAATTATGTTAATTTCACCCTCAGTATAGTCCAGTGGTACTTTTCTACTTAGCTCAGCCAAGCACCTTAAAAATTGAAGTAAATGTATTGTTTTATGGCCTACACCCTACATGATGCCGAATCTATGCTATTGCTTGACTGTTATGACTGAGAAAATGCTACGAGTATAAAGACTTGAATGGAACGTAGGAATAAACTTTCTCCAGCAATTTTTTATAATTATTGTAGGCGCATTTCGACAGCTGCAAATTGAGCCGTTGTTTATTCATTTTTGTAAAGTTGCATTTTTATACTACCTTGCATCACTAACATATTCATGGGAACAATTCATTTTTAGTAAACTCTCAACTATCCGGCTCGCCGTTACCCGGATTGCGCCATATCCGGCTCGCCTAGGACGCGGCGCCGCTAAACATAATTTTTACGCAGCAAGCAAAAATAGAAGACTTTTGTAAAAGTAACACATACGTAGATTATTAAAATGTATTTAGTATAATACACATATTATTATGTACTGTACTATATATATTTATGTATTTTCTCATACCATAATTAGTACAAATGTAAGTTGTGAGTTAAAATACACTTGTTTAATAAAATTGCATATGTTTGCACATTGATTCGGCGTATCCGGCTTTTTCGTTATCCAGACTAGCTGCCCGCCACCTTAGGCCGGATAGTTGTATTTCTTTTTTGTTTCCAGACACCGCCAGGTGTACAGAAACAAGAAAAATCCAAATCACCCATTAGTACAACAGCAGTTCCAGAACATCCGAAACCACAAGTCCAAGATCAGAAAAAACCTGTCCAAGAAACTCCACAGCCAGCACCAGCACTTTCTAAACCATCCACTCAGGAAAACGGCGAAGAAAAAGGTATGCCTATCTCGTTTGTTTACCTCATTCTCTGTTACATACAGGGTGTACTTTCAGTATGGGAATAACTCGGTTAAGAAAAGTTATTCATATCACTTGTAAAATATACTGAGGCTCCATCGTGGAGTTCTTGATTAGTATTTTGACTTGAACCTTACTTTATGATATCATCGTTTTAGCTAGGCATGTTAACGTCTTCCTTTGCATGTTCAGTCCATTATTTTTCAGCTCCTGCTGTTCAAGAATCCCTATTATCTCCAGCAGTGCTACCGATCTTAGAAACCCCCATAAAGCCTGCAGAAGATAGCGAAACACTTAAAGACACAACTACACCAACAGTAACACCAACGGCGACAGCGTCGACTTTGGCGGCTTCTCAACCTGAGCAGATATCAACCAATGAAAAGAACAGCGTTGCTGAGGTAGCATCAAAACAGGCGTCAGTACCTATTACAGAACCGAGCCAAGGTGAGAGCCGAATGGAGCAGGATTTACCCGAAGCTGTTGAGGAGGTGGCTGTCGATGCAGAAAAGTCTGAGGAGCCGGTAAGTTCTATTTTATATATTATATAAGGCGAGGTTGAGGTCTAAGAAATGTAGAGGTGCATAAGGGACCGGTTAAGCGGCCTATGCGCTTATGGTGGCCGGAATGGATCAGTTGTTTGACAGCCTTGCTATAACTTCTGGATAGATAAACTTGAAAATATCCAACGACGATTACTACAATACCTACATTTCAAGGAAAATGGCAGTTACCCGCCAATTGACTACCAATAAATCTTAGAAGAAGCCTTTGAACTAGAAAGTCTCAGGGAAAGGCGTGATGAGTGCTGCATTAATTTTGTGCATAGTATATGTATATTGCACAATTATATCGATTGCTGCCTTATATTGCATAAATTTAATTTTATTCCACGCTTAAATTCTAGACAATTTGATACCTTTTATTTGCTTGTCCCTAGAACAAACATCTTAAAGTTTTCTCCACTATTTTACTCTTGTGGTAGAGCTCATTAGCTCATTAGACGTTGCAGAACAGTTGGATATATTTTTGCGAGGTTATGTCTGTCTTTTTTTGCTTTCTTATCTGATATTGGTACATATTTGTAAATAGCACCTTTGTGTTCGAACTACCCATTCTTGCGTGTATTATAAAATAATTGTTTTTTTTTGTCCGGACTGTGACCTACTCTGTAAATGGCTGTTGCTGTTGAGTAGTGTATAAATAAATGAATAAATTAAATAAGTTACTTAACAAATGTCTATAAAAGTATACAACCCATCTTATTTAACAAAAAATCATTAAAACCATATTTTTACGGAACTCCAATTAAAAAAAATCTACTTTTTCACGCTTTGATTTAGGTGTTTAAATACTGAGACTAATTTTTCCGCTTTTCCTGTGCCCACCTTATTACGAAGTTTGTTGTGTATTTAAATGAGGAAAAAATACGCTCAAACCCAGCAGATGAAGCAGCTGCTGTATCAAGCTGCTGAACTAGATCAACTGTAACTTCATTTATGTTATCTTTCAAGGACATCCACCAAACAAGTAGTGAGGCCTTTCAAATTGTCTTGGAATAAATAATCCTTAAATGATGTTTTTGCCTGATAACTTACAACAAAAGGCATCGCTTCAAGATAATAACGAGAGGCATACTCAAGAGCTTCTTCGCGTTGCTTTAGATTCAATTTAAGTCCTTGGAATCGATGATCTAGTATATTTGCCAGACAGTGTGCTGGAGACAGCCATATGAAACCTTTTTACAAAATGATTTCTATCTGAATCAGTGCAATTTTCATTTTCTTTAAAAAAGGCAAACCGGTCTATCCAAATTTCTGTGCATTCGCTAATTGTACGTACAGTCATCTTGTTGAATCTTATCTAGGGCAATTGCTATTTGTTTTAACTTTACTAAATAGTTCTGGGCATTTATTTTAAAATTGAAATCATCAATTTTTTCCGAGATATGAATATCAATTGCAGCTCGGTTTTCTAAACAAATTTTTGATACGTGCCAGTTCTCTAGATAAGATTCAATAGAGTCAGTTAAACTGTTCCATCTAACGTCTTGTGGCAACACGAATGCTTTTCCTCCAGATATTTTATATTTGCCTGCTGCGAACTGTACATTTCCAAGGTACTTTTTTATTTTCTTTGTGTTCTTTCAAAGTGGGCACCTGAATATCTTGTGCAAATAAATTTAAAGTGTGTGCAAAACACCCATAAGTAAGTATATAAGCTAGACCTGCTCCATCGCATTTTGCTTGTTCTGCACACATCTTAATCATATTTGCAGCATTATCTGTCATAACACTTCTGACAGTACAATTATAATCTGTGTAACAACGCTTTATAGACTCCACTAATAAATTTAACAAGTATTCAGAAGTATGACTTGGTCTTCAGTGTCAACAGTATCAATTAGATATACTTTACCTTCTTGAATATAATTTACATCCTGGACGCAACATTTCCATTAGCCGCTTAAACTCGGGGTGTTCCACTGCTCTAAAAGCACAGCTTGTGGCATAATCAAAACGTGCTACTTGGATATCGATGTTTTTCTTCTCGCTACATGTTGTTTTGACAACGTCTCTATCTCCTTGTCTTCTCATCAACAGCGAAAAACTGGATGACGCTGAACTGGAAACACGATAAGCCATCTAAAAAATAAAGTATACCTATGTAATAATTGTAATAATATCTAAAAATTCAATGGTATTGATTAACAGAATTTGCTTATACAACACGAAAAGTATATATGGAGGTTTAATACGGACCTGTTTTATTCTCAACTCTTATATATACTAAGTGACATATAAATCCGAACACCCAGTTTAAATGGTTTTATTTTAATAAAAGGTGGTGAATGTATTTATCTTACTGTAAATAACAAGTGAAAAAATTTTCAGCCTTATCAGTTGGACATTCCGGTTTTTATACTGCTTTTTTTTAATTCACTAACGATCTAAAAATGAATATTTCAGCCGCAGTAAAGAATCAACGTTGGCGGATGTTGGTTCTTGACATCCTTTACGATCGGTTACGATGCCTAGAGTACAGAGACCTGTACGATTTCGTCAACTTAGTGAGTTTGATAGGGGCCGTATAGTGGGACTTCGGGAAGCTGGACTTTCTTTTCGGGCAATTACAGTTAGAGTGCAAAGAAGTGTAGACACTGTGGTTAGGTGTTGTCAGGCATGGCTTCGAGAAGGCCGTACGCAAAGAGCAAGGGGCACTGGACGCCGCCGTAGAACAACAGACCGTGAAGATCGCCGCCTAAGATTATTGGCCTTAAGGGACCGTTTCTCCACTACCAGGTCTATTGCAAATGAATGGTTTGCAGAACACGGAAGATCTATTGGCATGCGAAGTGTTTACCGACGAATGAGAAGTTTTGGCTTGTTTTCATACCGGCCACAGTGGGTCCTCCCTTTAACTCGAGAACACCGACGTAATCGCCTTGAGTGGTGCAGACAACGGTCACTCTGGGATCAGGAATGGAACAGTATTGTCTTTAGTGACGAGTCTCGATTTTGTTTAGGCATGCACGATGGTCGTGCCAGGGTTAGAAGGCGACGTGGTGAAAGGAGGAATCCACAGTTTTTTGTTGAAAGACATGTTCATCACACTGTTGGAGTTATGGTTTGGGGTGCTATAGCTTATGGTTCCAGGTCACCTTTAATCTTCATCAGAGGTAACATGAACGCGCAGCGTTATATCCACGAAGTTCTAGAACCCCATCTTTTACCCTATCTTGACACCCTGGCAGATCCAACTTTCCAACAAGATAATGCCCGACCACATGTTGCAAGAGTCACAATAGACTTCTTTCAACATAATGATGTCACATTGTTACCATGGCCACCAAGATCTCCCGACTTATCCCCAATTGAGCACGTGTGGGATATGATGGGTAGGAGATTGCTCAATTTGCAACGTCCTCCTCAGACTCTAGAAGCACTTCGAGAGGAGTTGGTGGTTGCCTGGAATGAGATACCACAGGAGGACATTGACCACCTGATCAGAAGCATGCCTAGGCGCGTTGGAGAATGCGTAGCACATCAGGGTGCATCGACACATTATTAAAGTTCAAAGGGCTTTAAAGCAGTGCAATAATTTTGAAATTTTTATCATTTACTTATTATGCTTCATTAAGTACTTATACAAAATTTTATTAAAATAAAACAATTTAAAGTGGGTGTTCGGATTTATATGTCACTTAGTATATTTAACATATTTAAACAAAATTTAACAGCAATTATGTTTTTCTTACCTTTTTCAAAATTCTTCAAGCTACTTAACTTTGAGGAAATAGGTTCGGTGGAAACATCATCATTGCCGGTATCAGAACTATCTGATATATGAATATTTTGTTTTTCTAACAAACGTTGCGCATTTTACCCACCAGTGGCACTATATCCATATTGCAGGTTAAACATTTTGCTCTTTTATTTTCAGTCTCCTTAAAATATTTCCACACGGGATCCGTTCTTCTCACTGTCATTGCTGAAATTCAATACAAATCAATATCAAGCATTACAAGAAGTGATTTTTTTTTATAGCTATTGGCTTGAAGCTATGGTGTTTGTGGAAACTCGTAAAGCTAACTGTCTCGACAATACATTTACGAATTTCCCAGAAATTAAGAATGCTTAACTGTTTTTCACACCCATTTTTCAGTTCATTTAGCAATTAACTTCTCCATGGAATATAACCCGTATCCATCAACATTTAAAAGTTTTAATTATCATCCAATTACTGACGTCGGTCTTTTCAATCTATACGAGTATAATAATATTGAGCACATAAATTGTGACTTTGTCGAGAATCGTAATGTCTATTGCATGTATAACCAAGAAATTCTTCACATACAGTGAAATTGACTTTTAATTTATCTTGGTGCAACTTGAATATTCAGCGCAAGAGAGAGTAATACCAATTTTTGTCAGAACTACACAAATCTCATCCTCAAATTGTTAATAAGGATTTTAACTCATGCAAGTGTGAATATAGACCTGCGATAAATCAAACCACAAAGCAAGCTAATAATCGTTATATTAAAAATGCTAAACGTAGACAACAAGCAGTATAGAATGTTATTAAAAACAAAAAACCATTGAAAAGCCAACACACAAGCATGAGACTTAGCGCATCTGAGTTTAATCTTAATTTTACTAACATTGCCAAAAATGTCGTAGACCCGCTCCAACGCATACGAGCTATTTGCATGAGGTTAGTCGTACAGAGGATTTTGCTTTTAAAGAGGTTACTTACAATTGAGTCAGGGCAGCGTCAAATAAATTAAATAAATCTAAAAGTTATTTTCATTTTCAATGCAAAAATTATTAAAACCATTTTAAATGGTATATTTCCTGATATTTTCAAACTGTCGAAAGTTATTTCCCTCTTTAAAAAAGGCGAGAACCACGATCTTTCAAATTATAGACATATTTAACTTATACCGCTACTTGCTAAGATACATGGGATTGTTTTGAAAGATCAGCTGATTGACTATTTTGAAAGCCTATTCACTGACTGTCAATTCAGTTTCATATCAGGTAAGTCTACTCCTCTAGCTATTGACAGCTTCATTGAGAAAATAAATGCAGCTCTTGAAGGTGGTGCTCATTGCTTAGCTATCGTTTTTCATCTTACTAATGCCTTCGTTTGTGTCCAACATGAAATAATTCTTCTACAAAAATTGTCGCATTACAAGTTCCATAGTAGTAGCATTAGGCTCTTATCTTGTTTGAGCAACATACAGCAGCTTTTAACCTTCAACAACACTACCTCCATATCAATGACAATTTCATGTGACGTCCCACACGGTTCTTAATATACATAAATGACCTTCCTAATTGTAATACAAACAAAAACCTTATACTGTTTGCCAATGATACAACAATGCTCTGTAGTAGCAAATCGATTGATCTAGTTTTCTGTGCAAATATTGGATATATAATAAATTTAGGTATACTTTTTAGCAAACTGACACTTCATGATTCAAAGACACAATCCATGGTAATAAGTTTGTGTCACCATAACATCAATACCGTAGACACAGTGAAGTTTTTGGGTGTCAACATTGATACATACATGACTTGGGAGGAACATGTAAACAGTATTTTCAGGGAACTACCCAAAATCATATATTTAATTAGGAATCTTAAAAGATGCGAGCTTGCGAGCACGGAAGTGTAGTGAGCACCAATAAAGAAATGAAAATAATCTATCTGTAAAGAAATTCAGCGAACATGTTCGCTTCTCTTCACTTCCATGTTCCTCAATGGCGTGCACCTTAACGCGATTGTCGCGTGACAGTGTCACTTAACAATGTTTGACATATGGGTTTCTCTTTTTAACATCGCTGTGAAACATAATTGACCTTTTTATCGAGGCAAATTGGGTGCATAAATGGGTTCAAAAGTAAGATCATTTGCATTGGTAATTATTTAAGAATAATGGTCGTTTACTCAAATACAGGTTCTGTCTTATGATGAACATTGTACCGCCTAAGCTGTTTTTATAATTAAGCAATCCAAATCGATTAAAACGGTAAGACGTTCTTGGTTGATAATGATTAATGAAATATATACCAATATCCAAAAATATCACGTAATGGAGTTTGAAGATTCACATTAAAAAATAATATTGAAGATGACTTTTCGAGAAGACTACAGCGACATGAAAATTATTTTGGTAATGTGGATTAATCAATCTGTCCTATGGAGACTGAGATTAGGAAGGCAGTCACCCTAAAAGTTTGGGGGGCGAGTAACTGGAAATTCACTGGATGTATTGGAAGCATTCTTTGCATTCATATAATGAGTGTGTAATGTGGAAGTGCTAACAAAACGTGTTGAAAGTATTTGCTGCATTTTGGTGTGAAGTTTGTTAGTTCTTTGTATAAATTGTCCTGACTGATGCGTGCAGCAAGTCAGAAAATGTATAGCTCTCGTATTTACCCGGATTCACAAGTATTTTCTCTCAGTATTATTCTAGGTAAATTGTTCTTTTAATGCGTAATTTATGTTACTGAGATATTTCCTATTATAGTCTGCTTATTTATACCATCTCGCTAAAAAAACTTGTTAGCATTTCTCCGACCCAATTTATCTTTACTCATGTTGATAAAAATGTCAAATAACAGTGAAAATACAAACAAAACAAAAATTCCCCGAAGTAATTCCAACGTTGTCGGATCCAAAATGTTCTTAGTTACATACGAACGAGGTATGTGCATAGGAATACTGTTCTTAATTTGAAGTCAGACTTATCATAGTTAAACTTAAGCTGGAAATGGTGCATATAGACGCAAATGACGATTTATAAGCTCTGACCTTTCGCATCATTGCCTTAGCGTTGCAGTAACGCAGAACTTGAAGAATCATGCGCTTGACGTTAACCTGTTACAGCTGGTTTTTTTCACGTACTTTTCGTTCTGTCTGATGTGGCATATGTTTTGTTTTACTCGGTGTTTTACTTTACTAGTTTATTTGAATAATAATATGAATTATCAAAAGATGTGTTACAAGTTTGGTCTTCAAATACGCGAAACAGAATGCAATTTTGCAACGTTAGCAAGTGTGTAAATTGATTTTAACTGCCAACGGCAGCATTACGGTAACTGTACGTCGGCGGTACGGCATCTTCAGAGTTTATAGATCGGCCTTTTGTCATGTAAATGCCCATCCGTGTGGTTTTTCTGGTTTCATCCCCAACTTTACATTCTAGCTATCGACAGCAGGCCAAACGCCAAAGAAAGACCCGTTGGCGCTGCCCACGAAACCCGCCGCACCTGCAGCAACCGCCACATCTACCCCAAGCCCCGTGCGTGCCATTCGTAAAGCAAAGACCGTTGCCGCTAAAGCAGCTGCGCTTGCCAATGAACCGAAGACGCCCACGCCCGGAAGCAGCTTACAGAGGTCACCATCTACTGGTGGCAAAACGAAACGCCAGCGGATCCGCACCCAACACTACCAAAGCCCTCTGCCGGAGATTGAGATCGTCACCAAGATGACCTCGACGACGCCAAGGTCCAAAGGATCGGACGAAAAGTTGATCTACTTTTACAAGTGAGTGTATTTTTTGCTTTGTCACCAGAAGGTCGTCAAATAAAATGATATGTTGCTTTTGGGACTTGCAAGATCAAACCAATCAATAAAAAAGTTGACATAATTCAAAAGTTAAATAAAATTATTTATTATTAGTTTTTTATACTCCAGCTACCACGAAGGCCTAAACACCCATGGTGTACCGTGAGACTATAGGGGGATACAGGGGAATGGGGGAACGCTGGCGAGGGCACACTTGTGCATGCAACATTCACACATTCTGGCCCCGCCGGGTGGTACCTCTGCGTTCGACAGTCAGATACCGTCTACCACCTACGGATAGTTGCAACATCCATAGCCAAGAGAAAAATCTCTCTTTGGCCGGGATTCGAACCCGCACGGCGACTGATCAGGAGACCGAAGAGTCTACTACTGCGGCCACCGCTGCTGCCTGAATGCATATAACACGTAATTAATCAATAAAATTTAAATTAGATCCCAAAATGCACCAATTTGATCTTGTGACGTCATTGCTCAAAATGACAGCGCCACTCTTGTGCCTTGTAGAACCTCGTATTTTACCAGTGGGTAGTCTAACCGATCATTTTAAACAAAACAAAAATATGCACGCAGATGAAGCAGCTAGATGTTTTTTTTTTCTAAAATACTGAATTTTTAGCAGATATGTTTACTGCTATGTTTTACGACGCTTACTGTCTCTGTTTAGAACAATAGATGGCGGCAATATAATTGCTTCTGTGCCTCAACTGGGCCGAGGAACTCGAAAATTTATATGAATATACTAATAGAACAAAATAACGGAAAATAAACGAAAAAGTAAAATTAAAAACGTTAGTAAAAGTCAACTCTTAATGAAAGATCACAAAAATAGTATCCCAAAATAATAAAAAAGCAGACTTGTAAAGAAGAAAACCGATTGTGAGTAAAAATTATGGTTTATAATTTACAACAAAATAACTACACAAAAATGTTACGCGGCTGAAAGCTGTAGATGATGACTGACTTTTGTGGTTACAGCTCTGGCAGTTTAAAAATCGTGGTTTTTAAGTGAAAAAAAATAATTTAAATCCTTAATTGATTTAATCCACACTCAACTTTGTTTCGGTGATATTTTTGTTACGATTACACCAAACCGGTCAATAAATGATAAGGACTGGAATTGTAGAATCACAGAATGACAAGATACCACAAACCCAGCAGTACTCAAATAAAAAGATACCTTGCCACATTGCATGTATTACAAAACACAGGACAATTTAATTCATTTAGAACATGCCTATTTCTTGCATTTATTTTTATCTGTGATCTAAAATTCATATTTCTATTATATTTTCACCAATATGTTTTGATAACATGAAATTATTTTAAATATGCTTTAAACATTCCAGCAAAGGTGCTGTGTATGGAAATTTTTTTATAAATATGCCCTCCCCCGTTCGCCAAATTATTTAGATAACGAATATTTTTTTCTCGCAACTGCAAATCGAAATAACGAAGTAGCAAAACAAGAGCGCCAAAGACACTATAAATTTGTGTTACTAGTGTATTTTTAGAAGTGTTTTGAGTAATTGACACATCAATAACCCATCGCGCAGTTTATGTATGAGTGATTTTGTTTTCCTTAATATATCATATTGGCAGAACAAAATGAAAATATTTTGCAGAATAATATTCACTCGTCAAAAATAGTGTAACGATAACCGTGTTTACTATTCAAATTCTAATTTATGAAAAATGTATAGTCATGCCGACATGATTATGTTAAGGCATTGGTCACTGCCTGCTGACTCTGTCTGACTGTCTCTGCGTATATTTATTTTCCACTGATGAGTTCTAAAAACACTCTGACCTGACATCTATTCACACCGGCTAGACCGTGGGTCTTTGGCTCCAATTGAAAAGGTAGTTGCGCAAACCTAGCCTAATCAGATTAGTACAAAATAGCAATTATGAGTAGAAACACAGCTCTTAATTAAGGTGATCCAGCAGATTTCGATAATATCATATCTTCTTCGATAAGGTACTTGTATGTCCTGCTGTAGATTTCCGACATGCTGACAGTTCTGGTTAGTAGTTAATGTTGTTATTTTGACGTTTAAAAAAGTTTACACACATGAGTCGAAGGCAGAAGCATGATTTATTATTTTCTTGCAAATAATGTTGACAACAACTTACACCCAAGCTGTTCTCTTGATGAAGGTAGGTAAGTTGCAAAACAAATCATTGCATATTCATACTATGTATATACTTATCGTATTTTTTTCAGGTGTGGTTCATTCTCACAGACTTTATGAGATGTTCGATAAGAAACATTGTTTCCCAAGTGCAACTGCATTGGTAATGTCGGAGATAAATGCTCTGAAATTGAGTTTAAACGTGCCCTGCCGTATCTGTTATTTTTTTTTTATATTAGTGGGAAACTTAAGCTAAAAATTTGAGACTATAACTCTGAAAAATATTTTTATAAGAATGCAGCCCTCACCGAGGTGTGAGATTTTTAATGTTTCTTGAATCTGTGCATCTTTTTTGCAGATATAAATCATCGTGATATTGCATCAAAACTCAGTAAAATTCAGATAAATAGACAGATGATTTTCCGAAGAATGGATTCATGCTTCCAGGCACTTGAAATCATTTTTGAAGGAGCCAACCTTACAGAAACAAAAAGTCGATTTGCTTTTTGTGACTGACATGTGTTACATTGCACTTTGTAAATTAAAGATAGGCATAAGCCTGTATAATCATAAAAGTTAAAAGCTGTCGAGTTCAAGAGGAGCTTTGTCAAGCCTGGGCAAAGGGTTCTCGGATGTCTAATGGTTAATGTTGCATGTGAGATAGCCAAAATGTTACACGAAACTCGATAAAGTACCTTTTTGAATATTGTAATCAACATTTCTATTTGATAACATCTCACAAAGCTGATGCCATGGGTTTGAGATTGAATGCTTGACATCACAGCACAGTGGCAAATGGTGACAGTGATCTAGCAAAAATGTTATATGAAATACATATTTCAACACTTCTGGTTATATCTTTAATTAGGACTAAAACGTAACAAATCACCATTACTTATAATAGTATTTTTTCAAATCTACTTGCATTGCTCAAAGATGCATCCAATCCTGACAATTCCAGGGTACAACATACTGTTCCAAGACAGAATAACTCTAGTGTAACGTTATTAGAGGAAAAAGAAGAGTCAATATATTTAAATTGGATATTTCAAAAAGTTTGTTACCTACAGTTAATTCACTTTCTAAATATGATCTAATGTACCCCCAAACTAGAAAGTGTTGTTTGTAATTGATTAGATATCCTCTTAGCCCTGTTTACATAGCTTGTAATTTAGAAAATAGAATATAATCTAGTTGACATCATGCTACAGAAAAAACATTTGTTCCAAGAGAAAAGAAGGATTAAAACTTGAAGAAATCTATATTTCTAGATATTTTTGAAAGAACCTATTGTATTTTTGTGGGTAGACAATTGAGAATAAAAAAATATTTATTTTAAGAAGTGTCCTTTTATTCATCTTCTGCAAATATGTACTTACCAACTGAAAAATATAATACATGAAATTGTTAAGGAATTCATAGATAGTATGTCAAAATACATAAGTATCAGTAATCAAATGAAGTCTTTATATCTAAAAGGTACAAATAAAAACAGGAAATATGAACAAATATATAGTCAAAAAACTTATCCAAAATGTGTATTACAATAACCTTTAATAATTTCAGATTTACTTACATAAAATATGTTAGGTGCCTTCCAACTGAATGTCAATATTTAAGAGGGCGACTTTTGGTTCCATTTTAAGAAGAAAACTTCATATAATTGTGTGTCCTAAACGTCTTGACTTTGTCAGGGTGGTGAACTTCTTAAAAATCAATTTTTTGTTGAGATCTGTAATATGACTTTAAATACTTTATTAAAATTCTGCATACTCGTATATGTACTATCAAGAGGTATTTTTTAAATAAAAACTTTTAATTGAAATCCCGTCATTTCTTAGCAAATTTGATTGCTTAATTTTTGTTCACTCCGATGCAAGGTATTCGCTTACAAAAATAAAACGTTTCTTTGCATGATCCTAATATCGTTAGTATGACAATGTCACTATGGCGAGAAATAGATTGTATTTTTCAGCTGAAAACCGTGCGTCAGACTAAAAGAATTCAATTTTACATGTCCGACCCACTATTTCCACCCAAAAAATTCTCTGCATGGTGATATTGTCATGTTAACAATATTGTTATGATCGTTTTTATAAAAACCGTGCATCAGATTGAAAAAAAAACATTTCGCAACGATTTTTGCTTCGAAGTGGTTGAAAATTTTAATACGAGATAAATAAATGGCATGCCATCACTATATACTATCAAAACAGGCAGGTAAACTTAAAAGAATGCCTCTTTACACGTTTCCATGTATGCCAAATTTCATTAAGTGGTATTACAGATATTTATAATCAAGGATTTATTTTTTGACCTTTTGAAGTTTTCATCTTAAAATGGACCTGAAACCACCCCCCTAGATATGGACATTCAATTAGGAAACACAGTAAATTGCAGCTACCAATACTACAAGAGATACATTTTTTTTACTGTGACTTCATAATCAGCAAAATCTACTCTTCATATGAGTGTTTCAAATATCAAACCTGTTCAGTTTTTGATATTTCTTTCTCAAACAGAAAATGTTTTTCTTTACTATGCCAAAGTTTTAATAGATTTTCCCTTTTATGTTAAGATTAAAAGTCAACGAACGAATTGGAAAATAAACTGTATTTAGATTTCCTCACTTTTTCTTCATATACCACATTCTACAACATTAATATATGGTGCAACACATTTGATAAATACAACATATTGTTCTTTGAGGCTCAATGCATTGATCTCCTTGTTAGTGATGATGCCACTGAAGTATTTTTTTAGTATGCTCAGTAGCTGAAGGCTCCATTATTGATAGCAATTTGAATCCAAAATTTATACTCAGCA